ACCCGGCGATGCTCAGGGGTTACTCCTGGCTCATGCACTCAGGAATCACTCCTGGCAGTGCTCGGGGGACCATATGGGATGCTGGGAATCGAACCTGCATCGGTAATGTTGGCTGCGTGCAAGGCAAACGCCCTACCCGCTGTGCTATCACTCCAGCCCCACACCCTCACTTTTAAAAACATTTTTGGGCCACATCCAGTGGTTCTCAGAGAATACTCCAAGCTCAGTGCTCTGGGGACCATGTGGTGCTGGGGATCTTATCTGGGCCTCCTGCTTGTGAAGCATATGCTCCACTTTGTTGAGCATCTTGGGGCCATGAAGGTGTGCAATTCTAAAAGATCATGGGCAAAGGGGTCTGGCAGAGTTAACAGGGTTAATGTGGTTTCATGGGAGATTGAACTTTCCAGCTGAGACCCATAGACTAAGCAGGAATCAGTGGGGCAGAGAAGAGGCTTATAAGGAAAGTCTTCAAATAGACGGAAGTGGGCCGTGCAGGGGGCCAGAGCGACAGTACAGAGGGAACAGCATTTGTCTCGCATGCAGCTGACCGAATTCAATCCCTGGCATCCCATAGGGTCCCCTGAGCACTGCTAGAAATAATTTCTGAGTACAGAGCCAGGAGTAAGGTAAAGGTAAAGGCCCTCCCGTTGATCGTCGATTTGCTCGAGCGGGCCCAGTAACGTCTCCATTGGAGACTTTGTTGTTACTGTGTCTGGCATATTGAATACTCTCGGTAGCTTGCCGGGCTCTCCGAGAGGGGCGGAGGAATCGAACTCGGGTCGGCCGCTTGTAAGGCGAACGCCCTACCCGCTGTGCTATAGAGCCAGGAGTCAGCCTGACCAATGCTATAACGTGGGTTAAAAAACAAAACATAAAGGTATAAGGCTGGAGGGCTGGAGAGTGCTTGTCTTGCCTGGCACCCTTGAGCCCTCCGGAAGTGATCCCTGAGTGCAGAGGAGTAAGCCCTGCACACTGCTGGGTATGCCTCCACCCCCCCCCCCCCCAATCTAGAATGTTCTTAATAAGATGAAACCCTGAGGATGTCCTGAGGTGGAGACTGGGGTCTAGGGTTCAGTGCTTTGCTGACACTTTGATTTAAACTCCAACTTCCTTTCCACTTTTCACAACCTGCTAACTTTTTGCTATTTCCCTTTCTTCTAGAACTTTTCCTGAGCCTACCAAATCCTGGGTGTCTCCCTTTGTTTTCCTCATCCTGAGCTTAAGCAAGTGACACCACTGACTGGTCCCTTCTCAGCCCGTCGCATGGTCGGCTGCAAGCCCTGGCTTCAGCCCATTCTTGTAGTCCTGGAACTGATGCTTCCTGGACCCACCCTGAGACATGTCTCACTGCTCAGTCCTAACGCTCGAGGAAGTCATTCTCTGATCTTTCTTTTGGGCCACACCCAGCAATGCTCAGGGCAAGGCAGTGCTCCTGGCTGTGTTCAGCACTCCTAGTGGGGCTTGGGAACATAGGTGGTTCCAGAGATCATTTATTCATTCATTCATTCATTCATCATCCTGTTATTCGTCGATTGCCTCGAGCAGGCCCCAGTAACGTCTCTTTCATCCTAGCCCTGAGATTATATTCAAGGCTCTTTAGGAGAATGAGACCCATCATTGTTACTGGTATTTGGCAGATTGGGGACTCCACGGGGAGTTTGCCAGACTCTGCCCTGTGGGCAGGCTACATTCAGTAACCTGCCAGTTTGTCCAAAGTAGGGATGAGATAATAAGATGTCATAAAAGATATCAAACCAGGATTATTGCATACAAGACAGGAACCTAGTATTATCACTAGCCCACTAAGCTAAATTCTAGATAGTGACATTTTTTTAAAAATTTGGGGCCACAGTGGGCCAAAAACAGGGATTACTCCTGGCTTTGCACTCAGGAATCACTCCTGGTGATGCTCAGGGAATTATATGGGGTCCTGGGGATCGAACCCAGGTCAGTTGGGTGCAAGGTAAACACCCTACCTGCTGTACTATCGCTTTGGCTCAAGAGTGGCACTTCTAAGTCAGAATGGATAACCCTCATTTTGATTTTGGGGCCCCGGTTGGTTGGTGCTCCTTGTTCTGTGCTCAGGGATCACTCCTGGCAGGTTCTGGGAAGCATATGGGGTTCTGGAGATTGAACCCAGAGAGGCTGCGTGCTACCAGTCCTCATTTTTCTTCTTTTCCACTTATTTTGTTTTGGGCTTGTTCCGTGGGCACTGAACCTGAGCCTGCCACCTGCCACGCACGTGCTCAAGTCTGGACAAAAGTCTTTCGCGTTCCTCCAAATGCAATTGTTCCTTCAAATGCAATTGTTTGTTTGACTCGGATTCGCTTTTTTTTTTTTTTCTTTTTCTCTCGGATTCGCTTTATCTTGCTCAAATTCACCTCCCTGCCCAGGCTGCGGTCTGGCCCGGGTGCACGACCGACCAGACAGATGCGTGTGCTTCTCGCTGGCTGCTGGCGCCCTCCAAGGATGCTATCAATACCCGGAGGGCCCTTGGCAGCAGGCTCCGCCCCTGCACTGAGGTTTCCATTCAGGAATTCCGACTCGCTTTTCCTTTGAATCCCCCGACCCCGCGGGCCGCTCCGGGGAAGCCGAGCGCGGCGACTCGTGGTGGTGCTGCCCCCCGGCGGCCGCTCCTGGTGCTGCAGCCTGACCCCAGCACCTTCCTCGCCTGCGTTGCAGACTTGGGGGTCCCACGCACCCGGCCGGGGCCTGCTGGCCCCTCTTCCGGCCACCGCCCCGCGCGCGGAGAGGCCCCTGCAGGCCCTGCCCGGGTGTGGCCGCTTTGATTGCTAGGAGCCCCTGGGTCGGGCGCAGGAACCCGGAGGTGGAGGCCGGGGGCGGGGCCTGGAGACTCTCGGGGGAGCTTCTCTGTTCTGCGCACCCGGGACAGTCGCACCCGGAGGGCCGGCACCCGAGGAGGTGAGACCCTGTGACCCCCCAGGGGGCAGGCAGGGGTGCGGGGGGCGGGCCCGGCTCTGTGGGCCACTCTCCCCACCTGGGGCTCCTGCGGCAGGACCTGTGGCTCCCTGGGAGGGGTCCCCCTGCCCCCTGGGGGCAGGTCAGCCTGGAGGGTGCGGTTGCAGGGTGGGTGGGGTGGGTGGGGCTGGCTGGGCGGCCAGGTGCAGGAGGGGCAGGGGCGAGTGGGTCTTGGGAGGCCCAGAGGCAGATGGAGGGAGGCAGGGGAGTGTGTGGGGAGGACCCAGGACCACAGGGCAAGGGGGAAGCCGGCCAGGGGATGCGGGATGGGGGAGGGGCCGTGGGCCAGAGGGGAGAGGGCAGTGGGGTCCGCGCAGGGTGGGGAGGGGAAGTCGGAGGGAGGAGGCGCCACAGGCGGCCTCTCCTGGGCAGACGGCCAGGGGCCAGCACCCCGGGGGCCAAGCCGGGTCCTCCTTTCCCACTGGGGCAGGTGCTCCCTGCCACGGCTTCTTCGGAGCCCCACTCTGGTTGGGGGCGAGGGCGTGGCTGGTCCTCACTGCGGTCACCCCACATCCTGCAGAGCAAGGAGGGGAAGTAAGAAGCAAAACAACCCAAGAACCTCACAAGGCCTCCGCAGAGAACTCGCGAGAGGGCGAGTTCAGACTCCCCGGGCGGTGGGCGTGGGGACCCCCCCAAGTGCTGTCCCCTCAGCTCTGCCCGAGGGGCTCCGGGGACACAGGCAGCTCTGGAGCGCGATCTGGTTCCGTCCACTTTCGAAGTTTGGTGGACGTGGACCAAGCTCCCTCGACTCTCTCGCTTTTGCTTTCTCACTGCTGACGTGGAGCTGCTGTTAGCAAGAGTTGGGACAAGGGGGCATGAGAGCACTTGGCAAGGAGCAGCTCCACAGAAAGCATCAGCAGTTTGGGGTCGTGTCCGGTAATGCTGCTTCCAGTGTGCTCAGGCATCACCCCTGGGCCCGGGCATGCAGGCCTGTGCTCCGCCCCGAGCCCTCTCTAGCACCTCTCCCCCATTTTCTTTCTGGGGCCACACCTGGCCATGCTCAGCGTTCCCTCCCGGCTCAGGGCTTACTCCTGGTGCTGCTCAAGGGCTCCGTAAGTGTCGAGTCGGCCACACGCCACCTTCCTACCTGCTGTTCTGTCTCTCCAGCCCAACTTCCCATGCCTGTTTTTGGATTTTGGGTCACACCCAGCAGTGCTCAGTGCTGACTCGACTCTGCTTTCAGGGCTCAGTCCGGGTGGGGCTTGGGAGACCCTTATGTTCCCAGGGATTGAATCCAGTTGGCTGCTTGCAAAGCAAGGCCCTGCCTGTGGTACTATCTCTCTGGTCCCTCATTTTTTTCTTCTTGGGTCACACCTGGAGATGCTCAAGGGTCACTCCTGGCGGTGCTTGGGGGACCATATGGGATGCTGAGAATCGAACCCGGGTCGGCCGCGTGCAAGGCAGATGCCCTACCCGCTGTGCTATCGCTCCAGCCCCCCCTCATTTCCTTAAAGGCCAAACAACCCAGTAGCTGCTGTGGTAGCTGGGCCGGCAGAAGCGTCTGGCCTTGGGGAAGGGCCGACACCAGCCCATTTTTCAGCTGCAGACCCAGGTTTGTACACACCACACGGGCATATGTGGCACACAGGGGTTCAGAATGGCCACAGAAGAATGACCTGTCAGGTAAACCGTATCTTCTCACTGCGGCCGCAAGCTACTTCCCCTTAAAGCTTGGCCCACAGTGGGCAGGTCTACTGGGCGCCCTCATTTCTCTGGCCAAAGCCAATCCTCCCCCCGGCCTGTTTTTTGCTTTTCCTGTTCTGGGCCACACCCAGCAGTGCCCCGGGCTTGGTGCTGGCTCTGCGTGCAGAGGATGCTCTGGGGTGCCGGCGATCGAACCCAGGTTGGCCACGTGCAAGGCAAGAGCCCTGCCTGCTGCATAACGGCTCTGGCCGGGGGTGGGGAGGGGACGGCAGACCCAGAGTGCTGGGCTAGAGCCCAGGAGGAGACGGAAGGGAGAAGCCCGTTCCCTTCCCAGGGAGGCCCGCGGCCTGACACCGTGTCCTCCGCGTCCCAGGCACCATGGAGCCCTTCAGCTCCAAGAGCCTGGCCCTGCAGGCGGAGAAGAAGGTCCTGAGCAAGATGGCAGGCCGGTCGGCGGCGCACCTGTTCCTGGACGAGACGAGCAGCGAGGTGCTGGACGAGCTCTACCGCGTGTCCAAGGAGTACACGCAGAGCCGGGCCCAGGCGCAGCGCGTGGTCAAGGACCTGGTCAAGGTGGCCGTCAAGGTGGCCGTGCTGCACCGCAGCGGCTGCTTCGGGCCCGGGGAGCTGGCGGCGGCCGGCCGCTTTCGCCACAAGCTGCGGCAGGGGGCCATGACGGCCCTGAGCTTCGGCGAGGTGGCCTTCACCTTCGAGGCGGCCGTGCTGGCCGGGCTGCTGGCCGAGTGCCGGGACGCGCTGCTGGAGCTGGTGGCCGGCCACCTCACGCCCAAGTCCCACGCGCGCATCCGCCACGTCTTCGACCACTTCGCCGACGCCGGCCTGCTGGCCGCCCTCTACGGCCCGGGCTTCGAGCAGCACCTGGACAAGATCTGCGCCGGCCTCCGGAAGCTGCTGGAAGAGGGCAAGCTCTGACGGCTGCCCGCGGGGGCCGGGCGACGCTCCCGTCCCCGGTGCCCCCAGGACGGCCCGGCAGCAGGGGAGCCCCCGCGCCCTCGGGAGCCAAGTCGGGTGCTCGGAGAAGGCTCCCGGGGACGCTGCAGACAGAGGACGGGTCCCAAGAGACACTTGCGGGCAGGGAGACGATCCCGGGAGAAATAAAGCCACGGAAACAGGCCGAGGGCTCACGGTTTAATCTCTCCAGCCTTTCCGACCCGTGCCGGTCCCCGGACAGAGGAAGGCCGCCGCGCTCCCTGTCCCCCACCCTCGCCCACTGTCATTTAAGAAAATGCCAAGAGCCCGGTGGGGAAGTCTGGCTACGAGCAGCAGATAACGTAGTGAGCAGCTAGTCCCAGACAGGTGGGCCTGGGGGGCCTAGCAGAGCCCCCCCAGACTCACTTCCACCCCCTCTCCAGCCCTGAGCCTCCCCAGCAGAGGCGGGTCGGGGGTGGCCTGGAGCCTGCCAGAGCTTCCGCCCTGCTCTCTTAGCCCAGGACTTACGCAGAAAGTGAGCTGGTAAAGAAGGCGACACCCTACCCTAGCCCTGTCCAAACACCCCACAGTAGGGCTGGCCACACCTACCGCCTTCTAATCCTAAACTTGGTTAAGCAGGCGGGGACCAGCTTGCCCTCAATTCCTGGGATACCTGGCCTGAGGACTGTAGAAGCCCCAACTGTCGGTGAAGAGGGGACAGAGTAAGAGTGAGCAAATAAATAGGACTTCAGTATAGCACCAAATAAATAAGATTACAAAACTGGAGACGGGCAGGAAGTGGGCAGACTGGGTTGGGGAACGGGGTTCCTGCCTCCCTGTTCTAAGGCCAAGAGGCACGCCGGGACATCCGGAGCACCTGATCTAGAGGGCAGCGCTCCCCTCAGGACCGCCGAGGAGGGTCCACCCGGCCACTAGCCTTGCACCAGGACCTGGCCTGGGAGGGCCAGGAGGCGGCAGTGGCAAGGAGCCACACCCTCGGCCTCACGGCGGTCTCTTCCCCAACAGCAGCTGCTTCCGCGGGGCACTTCTGCTGGGGCCACGGCATCACAGTTTGAAGATCTCATCCTCCTGGTCCCGCAGTGTCCGGGTGCGAGAGGTCCGGGTTAGCGGTACAGGCCCAAGCACAGCATGCTGCTGCATCCGGGGGGAGCTCGAGGGCGGCTGTGAGTGTCCTGCATCTGCCGTAAGTGTCCTGCAGGGGAGACAGGGGATCAGTGTCAAGGGAAGCAGCGGAGCAGAGACGCCCGGGCGCTGGTCCCATCAACACTGGGCTGGCTGCTTGGACCAGATGGCCCGTCCCTGGAGACACCACAACTCCCCTGCCCAGCACCCAGCTCCTGTCCCAATGTCCCCGGGCCTCAGCCGACGGGGTGCCTGAGTGTGTCAGGCCAGGCTGGGGAGAGGAGGCCGAGGCCTGTCACGGATGGTCTGGAAAGACCACAGCGGGCTTACCTGATATCCCCACCCTGTAGCTTCTGGGCAGCGGCCTGCTTGGACAGGCGGATCTGGGAGTCCAGCTTCTTGAGGAAGTCCGAGGCAGAGAGATCCGGGCCGGGCTCCTGGCCTGTGGCGGCTACATTGGCACCGCCCAAACCTCGCTCTGTCTTTGTCCTCTCCGCTGAGTGCGGGCAAACATCCTCCTTGCTTGACTGGCCCTCCTCTCCATCCTTCTCGTCATCAGAATCCAGACCACTGAAGATGTCTCTGGGCTCTGTCTGGATGGGGATGTAGAGAGTTTTCTTCAGGAAGATGGAGTCGTTCGTATAAAGGCGGTTTGCACGCTTAATCTGTTCCATCTTTAAAAAAAAAAAGCCACCAGAATTAGTGACAGCAATAAACCAGCAGTTGTATCATCAACTGCACCCCCATTTTATATTTGCACACCCTTTCTTGGGGACTTCTTTTGGGACCACACATGGTGGAATTCAGGGGCTTATTCCTGGCTTGGTACTCAGGGGACCATGTGGTGTCAAGGACTGAACCCAGGCCTCTGACATGTAAAGCACATGCTCACCCCATGCGGCCCTGTGTCCATTCATTTATTGATTAATTTTTTGGTTTGGGAGTCACATCTGACAGTACTCAGGGCTTCCAAGGGATCACTCCTGGAGGGGCCCAGGGGACCCTCAGGGCTGACAAGCTGGCTGCCTGCAAACACCCTCTCTGCTAGTAGTAGGTAGTAATTCCTATCTCTCCCGCCTGTGGAGACTTTCAACATGCCCGGCAGTCTAGGTGTGCAAGGCCCCGCGCTGCCATCCCCATGCAGCAAACAATTAAAAAAAAAAAACAACGGGTGAGACAGTTTTATCTAATCCCAGGACAACCAAGGCTGATACTGTGCCGATTTTGCTTCTCAGCAGTTTTTGGACTTTGGGCTTTCCATTCTTGGGGGAGGGGGGCTGGGGCATCCCATTGGTACTCATTGCCGTGCTCTCTCCAGCCTTCTCTGTGCTTGAAAAGGGCATGGGGTACAGTCCAAAGGGCTGGATACAGGCAAGGTCCAAATCTGCATTGTCCCCTGGCCCCTGCCCAGCCCCACCCGATCAGCCTTGGTGGCTGCCTGCACTGCCACACCTGAATAACAAACCGCTGGACTGAGCATGGCTGGGTGTGGCCCTCGGGCCAAGTGAGCACTGATGGGAGCCTCTCACCAAGACTGCCAGTCAGGGCCAGAGCAATAGTACAGCGGTAGGGCATTAAGACTCGCACGCAGCTGACCCAGGTTCAATCCCCAGCATCCCATACGGTGCCCTGAGCACCACCAGGAGTAATTCCTGAGTACAGAGCCAGGAGTAACCCCTGAGCATCGCAGGGTGTGACCCAAAACGCAAAAACAAACAAACAAAAAACAAGCAAAAACAAACAAAACTACCTTGAAGGGAAAAAACTTTATCAATAGTACATGCTAAGGCCCTTGCCTTGTATACTGCCAATTCCAGTTGATCCCCTGACCACACACGGTCCCCTGAACACCGCCAGAAGTGATCCCTGAGCAAAGAGCCGGAGTAAGCCCTAAGCACTGCCCAGTGTGATCCAAAATGATCCCCCCGCCCCCGAAGATTTTATCTGTGTGAACGACAGCTACAAACATTTAAGGTGCTCTTAATTAACCAGAAAAATATGGGCTGGGGAGTGAGCTTGAAGAGCCGAAGCACATACCAGACATTGCACGAAGCACCCAATTTGATCCCAGAATCACACGTTCTCCCAAATACCGGTCACTCCCACCAGGAGTGACCCCTGTGCACGGCATGATGCCAGGAGTAGCCCCCACAAGCAACACCAGCGTGGGTCCAAAGTGGAACCCAGAGAGGTTAATGACTTCCCCAAGATTACCTGCCAAGTCCCAAACGAAGCTCATGCTGGAATTCTGGCCTTTTTCACTCCTTTATTTTTCCCCCCAGTTTTGGGCCAAACCGGGCTGTGTTCAGGGATTACTCCCAGCAGGCTTAGGGGACACTACGGGGTGCCAGGGATGGAACCTGGGTTGGCTACACGCAGAGCGGAAGCCTCCCCCACTGGACTATCGCGCTGGCTCCTACGTGAGGGTTTTCCAATGAGACAATCTGGTCCAAATCCCAGCCCTACCAATGACACTAGCTGTGTGGCTTACGACAAAGTACTACATCTCTCTAGTTATCACAGATTTTAAGCCAAAAATATTTTTATGTTTACATTTAATTTTATGGAGCAATAGCACAGCACAGGGTGTGCTGACCCGGGTGGATTCCTCCACCCCTCTCGTAAAGCCCTGCAAGCTACCGAGAGTATCTCGCCCACACGGCAAAGCCTGGCAAGCTAGCCATGACATATTTGATAGGCCAAAAACAGTAACAACAAGTCTCACAATCTGTTGTGAGACGTTACCGGTGCCCGCTCAAACAAACCGATGAACAACAGGAGGACAGTGCTACAGTGCTACATTTAATTTTGAGGCCATACCTGGCAGTGTACAGGGCTTTTACTCCTGGCTCTGTGCTCAAGGATCACTCCTGGTGGGCTTGGGGGATCATATGAGGTGCCTGGGATGGAACTTGGGTCAACCATGTGCAAGGCAAGTACCCTACCTGCTGTTGCCAGTTTTTTTTTTTCTTTGCAAAAAAATGGGATGTGACCATAATGTGAAACTTTCCACCAACTGTGCTGATATTCTTTTAAAAGAGGCTGTGTTGGTTATGCAGTGAAATAAGGTAGCTTCCTCACTTTCTACTTTCTTTTTTCTTTCTTTTTTTTTTTTTTTGGCTTTTTGGGTCACACCTGGTGATGCACAGGGGTTATTCCTGGCTCTGCACTCAGGAATTACCCCTGGCGGTACTCAGGGGACCATATGGGATGCTGGGAATCGAACCTGGGTCTGCCATGTGCAAGGCAAATGCCCTACCCGCTGTGCTATCGCTCCAGCCCCTCACTTTCTACTTTCTTATCTTTGAGTTGTTCTTTTGTTTTTGGCCACACCCAGTAGTGCTCTGGGCTGTGTAAAAGGCAAAAATGCTCTACCACATCACTATCTCCCACCCCCATTTCCTTATTTTTGGAAGAGAATACTGAAGGGCACTGGATGTGGCCCAGGGGGTTGTATGTGTGAGGCGCTGGGTTTGAATCTCAGCGGACACAGTGCGCCCAACATTGTTGGGGTTGACACCTACTGCTGAGCCCTGAGTAACCCCGAGCACCACCCGGTGTGGCTCCAAGATAAAACAAAGGGAATGATTCTATCTAGCTCACAAGGTTCCCTAAAGAACGCGAGCTGGGTGCCAGGGACTCAGTACAACAGGTAAGACCTCCGGGCAGAGCAACACGAGACGGTCTCCCAAGGACAGGTCGGGGTGATGCCGACTACAAACTCGGGAATAGCCTCTGAGCACCACTGAGGCTGGCCAACCACCCCACCCACCACCCACGTTAAAAAAAAAAAAAAGGAATAATCATGACAGGTAATGAATAAATAATAATAATAGCTAATGAGTCAGTAACAATGCCTAATTGCTTTTGGGTCACAGGTGGGCGTTAGTTCCCACATACACACACAACAGGAGAAAAAAAGAAAAACGAGGGGCCAGACAGACAGCACAGTGGGGACGGCCCTCGTCTTGCACACAGAGTCTTGATCTGGGTTAATCCCCAGCATCCTATACAGGTGCCCTGAGCACTGCCAGGAGCAAGCCCTGAGCATTGGCGGGTGTGGCCCCAAATGAAAAACAAACAAAACAAAACAACAACAACAACACTAGACCAGAACAACAACAACAACACTAGACCAGAGAGACAGCACAGGGTGTTCCGGGCTTGACCTGCACGCAATGGCTTGATCCTGGACACCCCGTAGGTCCCCAGTGCCACCAGGAATGAACTTCAGTACTGGCAGGTGAGACCCAGAAGACACAACAACACGTAGTAAAGAAAGAAAGAAACAACATCTACGAAGCTTCTGTGCTGGGAAGCATGCAAGACCCTCTGAAATAAAAAGTGGAGGGGCTGGAGCGATAGCACAGCGGGGAGGGCGTTTGCCTTGCACGCGGCCGACCGGGGTTCGATTCCCAGCATCCCATATGGTCCTCTGAGCACTGCCAGGAGTAATTCCTGAGTGCAGGAGCCAGGAGTAACCCCTGTGCGTCGCCAGGTGTGACTCAAAAAGCAAAAAAACAAAATAAAATTTAATGACAGAGGACTGGAACTATAGTACAGGGGTAGGGCGTTTGCCTTGCAAGCGGCCGACCGGGGTTCGACCCCCAGCATCCCATAGGGTCCCCTGAGCACCGCCAGGAGTGATTCCTGAGTGCATGAGCCAGGAGTAACCCCTGAGCATCGCCGGGTGTGACCCAAAAAGCAAAAAAAAAAAAAAAAAAGTGGAGGGGCCAAAAAGTGGTTAAGAGGTTACGGCGCTCCCCGGCATCCTGTGCCGCCGGGTTGCCTTGGGAACCCCTCCTGGCGCTGCGTGCAGGGACCAGCTGGGAGGCCGGAGAGCCGGGAGGGCCCGCTGGCCTCCCCCTCCGCGCCCCCCGCGCCCGCGCCCGCGCACTCACCGTGACCCCGTAGCGCAGCGCCAGCCCGGCCAGCGTGTCCCCGGGCGCCAGCGGGTGCTCCAGGCGCCGCTCCCGCACCGGCGAGCAGGCGGCGCGGACCAGGCTCCCGTAGGAGCGCGCGCGGCCCCCGCCCAGCAGCGCCGGGACGCCGGCCGGGGCCTGCCGGGACGGCGCCGCCATCGCCGCGACCCTCGGGCTCCGACCCCGGCGCGCCGGGGACCCCCGCCCCGCCCCGCCCCGCCCGGACGGTCCCGGCGCGCCGACTTCGGAGCGCGGGTTACGCGGCGGCGGCGGCGGCCGGGGCAGTCCCGCGCCGCACGGACCGGTCACTCTCCCGCCGGGGCCGAACGTGAGCACGGCCGCCGCCCACCCGGACCGCCCACCCGCGCGCGCGGCCCCTCGCGAGACACTTCATCTCCCGGCGGCCCGCGGCGCCGGAAGCCGCGGGGCACTGTGGGAAACGCAGTCCCGGGGGCGGGGCGCTGGCGCGGCGCATGCGCGACTTGCAATTCCGGAGGCCCGCGGGGCGGGGCGCGGGCGCGGCGCATGCGCGACTTGCACTTCCGGAGGCCCGCGGGGCGGGGCACGGGCGCGACGCATGCGCGACTTGCACTTCCGGAGGCCCGCGGGGCGCTGGCGCGGCGCATGCGCGATTTGCACTTCCGAAGGCCCGCGGGGCGGGGCGGGGCGGGGCCGGGCGGGGCGGCCACGCCCACTCCGGCTACGGTGGCCCGGACGGGGCGAGCTGCACGGGCGGGTGAGACGCGTCCCCGGGGATCGCCGGCGTGATGTCGTTCAAGCGAGAAGGGGACGACTGGAGTCAGCTGAATGTGCTCAAAGTAAGCGCGGGGCCGCCCTCCGGGGGCGGCAGACGGGCTCCTTGGTCGCTCCGGGGTCCCCCCAGGCGCCAGCGCGGGGCCCCTTGGCCGCGCGATCTGGGCTCCGCGCCGGGTCCTCCCCGCCTCCGAGCCCCGTCCCCCCGCTGCTCTCGCCTCCTGCCTCTCCCCGTCCTGAGGCTGGTCCCCCTCTGCCGTCTCCAGAAACGACGAGTCGGGGACCTGCTGGCCAGTTACATCCCGGAGGACGAGGCGCTGATGCTGCGGGATGGCCGGTGAGGGTCGGGGCTGGAGCGGGTCCGAGGTGCTGCGGGTCGAGTTTCCTGCTGAAGACGGAGATGATGGGTTCGGGGGGTCCAGGTGGGGAGGGAGGAATCGTGCGGTGGAGACTGGACCTTCGGGCGATGGGCTTTGGGGAGGACGGGTGGGACCGTCCCCGGGCACCAGTGAATTTCTCTGCCCTCCAGCTTTGCTTGTGCCATCTGTGCCCACCGACCTGTACTGGACACCCTGGCTATGCTCACCGCCCACCGTGCAGGGAAGAAACACCTGTCCAGTAAGTTCGGAGAGAGGGGCGAGCAGGGGATGACCCCTCCACATCTTTGGACACCGTCCTTGGTGCAATGCATTTTGCATTTTGCATTTTCCTTTTTCTCTGCAGGCCTGCAGCGCTTCTATGGTGCGAAGCAGCCAGGAAAGGGGCTGGAGCAGCATCCCAGACAGCAGGAGGAATCCGGGCAGGAGGAGAGCAAGGCCGAGGTAGCCGCAGCACGGAGTCCGCAGAACCTGCACCTCCAGCCCGGAGGGACTTTGCTTCTTTCCCGCTTGGGCTGTGCCGTCACTGTCTCTGGTTCTCTTCCAGGCTCCTCTGTTGGCCCAGACCCGGCTTATCACTCAGAAGGCGCTGCACAGAGCTCCTCACTACAATAGCTGCTGCCGCCGAAAAAGCAGGTCTATAGCACGGGGACGCTGGACGCTGGCAGGACAGGAGAGGCATATGGCTCCCAGATTGTATTCTGATGCCGCCAAGGCTTCTAGAGACGTCACCTGATATTTCAGGAAAAAGAGTTTTGTAGTCTTGAAGGAAAGGTCTGAGAGCGCTTTGCAGTGTTGCTTGAGTAGTAATATTCCTATATTTCAGTCTCTACAAAAACGTTTTTTTTTAATTTTTTTTTTTTTTTTTTTTTTTGCTTTTTCTCCTAAAGAGCCTTGAATATAATCTCAGGGCTAGGATGAAGGAGACATTACTGGGGCCTGCTCGAGGCAATCGACGATTAACAGGATGATCTGTGATTTGCGATTGCTTTTTGGGTCACACCCGGCGATGCTCAGGGGTTAGTCCTGGCTCTGCACTCAGGAATTACCCCTGGCGGTGCTTAGGGGACCATATGGGATGCTGGGAATTGAATCCGGGTCGGCCGCGTGCAAGGCAAAAGCCCTACCCGCTGTGCTATCGCTCCAGCCCAAACATTTTTTTTTTTGGTGGTGGGGATGATGTTGGGTCACACCTGGCAGGGGTTGGGTCACTCCTGGCAGTACTCAGGAGTGACCTTTGGGGTGCCGGAGATGATCTGGGATGACTCCAGAGGTGTTGGCATAATCACTGCATGCAAGGCAAGAGCCTGACCTCCTTAGAGGAGTTAGTCTCCCCAACTCTATCTGTGAGGTCTGTTTTTGTTGTTGTTAAGAAGCGGGGTTTATTAGGACCAGAGCAGTTGTGCAGCGTGGGTAGGGCACTTGCCTTCCACATGGCTGACCTGGGTTTAATCTTTGGCACTCCAGACAGTCCCACGAACACTGCCAGGAGTGATTCCTGAGCACACAGCTAAGAGCAGGCCCTGAGCACTGCCAGATGTGGCCTTGAAGCAAAAGAAGAATGGAACTGAAGTGGTAGTATGTGGGTAGGGTACTTTCCTTGCATATAGGATTTGATCCCCACCATTCCATGTGGAACCCGAGCCAGTGGGAGTAATTCATGAGCACAGAGCCAGGAGTCAACCCTGAGCACTTCTAGGTGTATTGTCCGTCCTCCCCCGGAAAGAAAAGCCAGTCCGGTTATGGTGTGGTGGGATGGGCATTGAGGACTGGAACTTGTCAGGGCTGGACAGGGAGCTGGAGAAGCTCTGAGGCACTCAAGACTGGAGAGCCCGTCCGTCTTGTGTCAGAGGCCAGGACTCGGTGTCTGTGACCTACAGCCCTCCAGGACGAGCCGCTTTTCATCCCCCCAGTTTCAGATTCATCCCCATCACCCTTGGTCCAGCCCCTCTCAGAGCAGACCCACCTCTCCCCAGGGCTTGGACCTGTCTCGGAGCTGAGCTGCTGTGGTCCTGCAGTGTGATGCAGATGGACATGAGGGCCTGGCTGGTGTGACTCCAGCCAGCATGCCATGAGGTTGTCCAAAGGCGCCCGCAGACCTGTTTGAACCTGAGATTGGGTCCAGCAGAAGCCAGAGAGGAAAGACCACTGCTAAGAACGGCAGGGTCCCTTGCGCAGCCCAGACAAGCCCCAGGATGTGGACACTCTCCAGAGGCTGCCCACAGCCAGGCAGAATGGCCGGGCGGCAGTAAGCAGTCAGCTTCATTGGCTGCTTAGAAATTACTTTTTGGTGAAGCAAGATAGTTTTTGTTAAATCTTATTTAGAAAGATGTGAGGGGAGAAAAAGGGAGAAATGCGTGTTTAAGAGAGAATGTGGCCTTCTCCAGAATCGAAATGGAGAAGAAACAAAGAGACAAGCAAGAGAGAGATGGAAGAACACGGTCTTGAACAGCAAGTGAAGAAAAGATTTTTTTTTTCTTTTGGGGTAACATCCAAATGTTCTCAGGACTTCTTCCCAGGTCTGCAATCAGGGGTCACTCCTGGCGTGGCTTATGGGACCATGCATGGTGCTGGGAATTGAATGCAGGTCAGCCACATGCAAAGCAAGCCCCATTGTACCATTGTACTACTGCTCCTCCCATAAAAATTTTTTTAAAATAGTATGACAGGTTCCATCACAGGGTCCTCTCAGACCACCAGGAGTGATTCCTGAGCACAGAGCCAGGAGTAAGCCCTGAGCACCACCAGTTATAGCCCATAAACAAAAAATATTTAAATTTTTTTTTTCTTTTTAGTGCTGGAGGGGATTGAACCCAGCACTAAAGGATAAACTGAGACATGTCCTCTGCCACTAAGGCATTGTCTCAGCCCCAAGCTTGAAAATATTTTGTGTGTGTGTGCGTGTGTGTGTGTGTGTGTGTGTATGGTTGTGGGGGGGCTTGGAATTGACTTCTGAATGTTATAAATGCAAGGCATGAATTCTACCTCTGGGCTACATCCCTGACCCAGAACTTTTAAAACTTTTTATCTAAACTTTGCAAGGGCTGGAGCGATAGCACAGCGGTAGGGCGTTTGCCTTGTGTGCGGCCGGCCGGCCAAGCCAGGTTCGATTCCTCCACGATTCCTCCGTCCCTCTCGGAGAGCCCGGCAAGCTGCCGAGAGTATCTTGTCCACACGGCAAAGCCTGGCAAGCTCCCCGTGACGTATTCGATATGCCAAACACAGTAACAACAAGCCTCACAATTTGTTGTGAGACGTTACCGGGCCCGCTCGAGCAAATCGATGAAACTTTGCAAAATTTACTTGATTCCAAAATTTTTGATTCTGGGTGTGTGGGTGGGGGAACTATTTGTGTTTGTGTGTGTGAGAGAGAGAGAGGACCTTGCAAATAGTGCTCTGGGGTCTGGAACATTCCTGGTGATTCTGTTTTCTTTCTTTATTTGTTTTGGGGCTACACCTGGCAGTGTTCAGAGTTTTCTCCTGGCTCTGCACTCAGAGATTACTCCTGCTAGAGCTTGGGGGACCATATTTGATGCTGGGGAGATCAGATCTGGGCCAGCTATGTGCAAGGCAAACACTCTACCCACTCTCTGGACCCCATTCCTAGGAATTTTTTTTTGGAAGGGGGTGTTAAGGTGGTCATATCCGATGGTGCTTAGGCCTCTCCTGGCTCTACACTCAAGGATCACTCCTGCTGGTGCTCAAAGGACCATATGGGGTGCTAGGGGGATTGAACCCGGTCAGCCATGTGCAAGGCAAGGACTCTCCCCACTGTGCTCTCGCTCCAGCTCTGTCCTGGTGATTCTTGACCTATCAGCAGTTCCACTGCTTGCTGAATCCTGGGACAGCAGAGCCACGTGCATGCAGAACAAATGTTCTGCACACACACGCACACACACACATATAGTTCCCCCACCCACACACCCGGAATCAAAAATTTTGGAATCAAGTAAATTTTGCAAAGTTTCATCGAATCCCTTGTTCTGAGGAGCACTTAAACAGACTGGGAGTCAGAGAGCTGCCTCCTGCTTTATAACTCTTTACCGCTTTCGGGGTGGGGCGGGGCACACCCAGCCGTGTGCAGGGCTCACTCCTGGCTCTACTTCAAGGATCACTCCTGGTAATGGTCGGGGGGGGGGGTCATAGGGGGTGCCAAGGATCGAACCCAGATCAGCCGCGTGCAAGGCGAGCGCTCTGCCCTCGGTGCTATTGCTCTGGCCCCTCCTTACAGCCTTTGATCCCTCCTTCTGTACCCAGACCGGAAGCCCCCCGACTCTCTGCCCCCCAGGGCCCTCCGCCACTCCCGGTGCCTGAGGTCCAGAGTGGGATGGGCAAGGAAGCCCGGCCAGCAGTGGGCTCCCAGGCGCAGGAGCCCGACGCCGGCCCCACCCCCACCCCTCTGAGCCCCACCAGGAGACGCACTCTGGACCACTACCTCCACCTACGGAGGTGAGTCTGGGGGGCATTTCCGCTGGTGCTTCTCTGTGGCACACCTGTTTACAGACCTTCACGGTGACCTTTGTCCCCACTGACTCCTTACTAAACTGCCAGTTCTTCCTCTGTTATTTCCAGCTCTGGATGGATCCCAGATGGACAAGGCCGATGGGTCAAAGATGCGAATGTCGAATTTGACTCAGATGAGGACGAGCCCCCCGGCCCCCCCTTGGACTGACACCGTCCCCGCTCAATTCATAAATAAACCACAGCAGGTGCCGGGCGAGTCTTCCCTCCAGCCAGGTGGCCCGTCCCCGTGCCGTCCTTCAGCTCCGCTGGTTCTCAGGCGGGCCAAGTCTTCCCACAGTGGACACGGCTCCCCATATTCCTGACCCCTCCCCCCGTCCTCCCAAAGCCCTGCCAGGCGTCAGCTGCCCGCAGCCCTATTAATAAGTCTGTCGGAGGAGCCTTCCGCCCTTGGTGCTTGCTGGCGGCCACCTCCCCGCTGAGCCCTTTCCTCCCGAAAGCCCAAGGAGCGTCTGGGGAAGCCCAGCCTGGGGTCCCAGCCGCGCCGAGAGCAGCGCCAAGGCGGGGTGACTTGCGGGCGGAAGGAGCCTCCTGGAGGCATTAGCGGATTCTGGGGAGCACTGGGGAGGGCGTCCCCACCTCCTCCTGGTAACCAGAGCCTCCTCGCCTGCTGCTCCCTAGAGTATAAATAATCCCCTGGAGCTGGCAGTGACCGGAGGAGACGGCGCCAGGATTTCCGCCCCAGAGCCCGCAGGAGGAGGCAGGCAGAGTGGACAGAAGGACCTTTATTTACAGGAGAGGTGTGGGCGAGGGTTTCTGGGTTCGGGGCTCCCAGCTCGCGTCAGGACAGGGACAGGCCTTATCACCTCTTCTGCTGCTGGCGGCCTGCGAGAGGCAGGAAACAGGGTTGGTCCCTTCTCCAGCTCCCCACCACAGTGCTCCCTTTCCCCTCTGGCGTCCCTCAACCACACCCCTGAAGAATTCAGCAAGTCGGGTTGGGAGACAGCATGTGGGAGCCCTGGGTTCAGCACCCGGTACTGCATGGTCCCATCTGAGCACTGAACCGGGAGCAGCCGCCAAGCACTGCCAGATGTGGTCCAAAAACGAAAACAACCCCAAAAAAGAGAAAAGTCCCTGGGAGAGCCCACTAGACGGCTCCACGCCCCCCAGCAGAGCAATACAGTGAATAAAAATGTCCCACCCCCCCAAATAGGTCAATACAGCGAATAAAAATGTCCCGCCCCAAACAGGTCTGGCTTCTTCCTTCTGCCTCTGCCCACGGGGATCGCCACTTCCGGGAGGTCAGTTGCTCAGGGTAACATGACTTTGGCCGGGACCCGGTTCTTGTCACCGAGTAGCTTCCAGAATCCAGGAGGGCCCTCACCGCCCTGCCACGCCCCCACCCCCAGTCACTCACGGAGTTCGTTATTCCGGGTCATGGCCTGGGCGGCCCGGGCTCTCGGGCCCTGCTGGGTGAAGTGGTAGCCAAATCGGACGATGGAGGGGCACTGCTCAAGCACGGTGGCCATCTCCATCTCCACCGCATCCCCGGGCCACTGGCGCTGCGGGCAGGAGAGGAGAGAAGTCAGCCGGGCCCTTGGTTGGTCTCTGGCTCAGGCCACTGGGCTTCGGGGAGAGCCAAGGGGCTGGGGCTTTTGTTTGTTTTCTCCTTTGTCTTGTGGCCGCAATGGCAGTGCCCAAGGCTTACTCCTGGCTCTGCACTTAGGGGTCACTCCTGGCGGCACAGGGGACCATGTGGAGTGCTGGGAATCGAACATGGGTCAGCCGTGTGGAACATAAAATATTCACCTAGCTGCCGTCCTAACTCTCCAGCCCCTCAAAGGAGCTTGTTTTCATGCAGACTTGCTCAGAGCAAGAGGGTGGGCCTGGCAGGGGTGCTGACCTGATTGTCCACGCGGAGCTCCGTGAGCGTGGCGTTCTCCCGGACGGCTTTCAGCACGGCCATGAGCCCCATGCTGCTGATGAAGTTGGACTCCACGTTCAGGCTCTGGAGGCTACGATTCTCACGCAGCATGTCCGCCACCGCCTGGGTGGTGGGACTTGGGTTAGCGACAGGGACTTGCTTCCCAGGTGACAGAAAAGAATTGACAGACGCAAGCGGGAAGCACAGCCTACTCGGGTGGGAGACGGAGGAGTGCAGGGAATTCAACAGAGTGGGTTTGAGGCGTGGTAGGGTGTCCAGTGAGAATTTCAGAGCCACGAGGTGAGCTGCAGGGCAGGGCTGGTGGCCAGAGGCTCCCTGGGGGTTCCCGCGGTTGGAACGACCCCCAGGACCACCCTGCGAAACCAGCGTGGTGGGGGGGGGGGGGGCGCCAAAGGCCACACCAGCCTTACGTTGGCGATGGGGTCTCCACTCTTGGTGGCCGCCAGACTGAAGGACCGGACGTGGGTGTTGGTCTTCATGGCCTCGCACAGCTCGGTCAGCATGGCCATCGGGATGTCCTGTTGGCGATGCGAGAAGGGGGCTGGCGGCTGCCCTGGCCTGCAGCTTGCCCGGGGAGGGCGGGAGGGAGATGCCCACGTACCTGTATGTTGTTGAGGTTAACCTCCTCCAGCTCCTTGTCATTGCCACGGACACTCTGGAGGATCTCCTCGATCTTCGTGGGGTTGGGGGGCTCATCTGGCACCGGCTTGTACTTGTCTGGCTGCACCACACCTGGTGGGTTAGGGCCGGAAGGACTCCCTCTCAGTCTGGCCCCCCGCTGACTCTGACTCCGACTTGCCCGGGGTGCTGGCTGTCGCCGTCCCACCTTTCACCCTTCGCGACCTGGCCCCAGGCCCCAGGCCCCGCTGCACGGTCCCGGTCCTGTACACACTCACTGCTGATCCCTTCCGTGTTGCAGATCTCCCCGCTGCAGATGGCATCGTAGTACTGCTTGTTGCTCATAAGCGTGTACATGCCCAGGATCGCTGGGTGAGGAAGGAGAGGGAGGGAGTGAGACGGGATTTCTGCCAGGCCCTCACTCCCACTGCATTCTGGAGCTGTTGCACTTTGGAAAGACTGAACTCTTCCAAAGAGGTGCCTGCTCCGGGGCCCAGAGAGAGAGAGAGAGAGAGAGAGTGCAGGGACTAAGATGCCTGCCTTGGATGCAGCCGTGCCCGGTTCAAGCCTCGCTCGGCTCCGCAGATGTTCCACAGAGCACTGCCAGGAGTGATCTTGAGGCCAGAGCCAGGAATAACAGCTCCTGAGTACCGTTGGGTGTGGCCTCAAACAAAACCCAACAGTAACAGGTTCCCAGTCAATCTCCGTGGCCCTGGGTACCTTCTAGAAATGTACGGATCGCGCACAAGGGCAGTGAATTTGCTTGTGAATATTGTTTCGGGGCCACACCTGGTGGTGCTCTGGTCTTACCCTCAGCTCTGCGCTCAGGGATCACTCTTGGAAATGCTCAGGGAGCAGGTTTATGGAGCTAAACCTGAGTTAAACCCAAGTCAGCTTCATGCAAGAGAAGCACCTTGGTGGCTGGAGCGATAGCACAGTGGGGAGAGCGTTTGCCTTGCACGCGGCCGGCCCGGGTTCGATTCCCAGCATCCCATATGGTCCCCCAGCACCGCCAGGAGTAACTCCTGAGTGCAGAGCCAGGAGTAACCCCTGTGCGTCGCCGGGTGTGACCCAAAAAGAAAAAAAAAGAGAGAGAGGGAGAGAGAAGCACCTTATCTAATCTCTCTGGCCAATGCAGTGGGTTTTTTTTTTTTGTTTTTTTGGGTTTTTTTTTTGCTTTTTAGGTCACACCTGGCGATGCTCAGGGGTTACTCCTGGCTCATGCACTCAGGAATCACTCCTGGCGGTGCTCGGGGGACCATATGGGATGCTGGGAATCGAACCTGTATCGGCCATGTTGGCTGTGTGCAAGGCAAACACCCTACCCGCTGTGCTATCGCTCCAGCCTCCAATGCAGTGTTTTTATATTTGGGGGGCTGGGGTTGGGCCACACCCAGCAATGCTCAGGGTTTATTCCTGGCAGATCTGGGAAGACCATATGGGATGCTGGAAATTGAGCCCAGGCTGATCGCATGCAGGGCAATTGCCGCTGTGCTCTCTCTCAGGCCCCGCAGGCAGCGTGATTTTTCAGAAACACTGAAACAGCTCAGACAGGTCCGTAAGGAGCTAGAAGGGCATCTGTCAAGACTCTCCTTTTCTGTTTTTCTTTTTCTTTTTTTGTGTTTTGGCCATATCTGGCAATACTCAGGGCTTACTCCTGGCTCCGCACTCAAGAGATCACTCCTGGCAGGGCTAGGGCGACTATTTGGTCCGCCAGAGGACCTTAGGTGGTGCTTGGTATTGATCCTGGTTGCAAGGCCAGTGCCTTACCCACTGTAATATCGCTGCAGTCCACTCATACTTTAAGATGAAGGCAACATCAACCTTGTGGGATGGGGAGACCCTAAAGGCTGAAATTCACACCTGGAACGCAGGGGTTCAATTTCAGGTGCTCGGTGCCTCATGGTCCCCCGAGTACTGTCAGGAGCCTTTCCTGAGCGCCATGAGGTGTGGCCCCAACACAAAATACAACACCGAAAAGGGCTTTGTTCAGCCCAAGTACAGATGTACCAGCCAGAAAACAGCAGCTGCGTGAGGCTGCTTCACACACCCACGTCCTCCATCAGGCCTCGCCAGAGCGAGCCCCGCCCTCCCCCCCCACCCCGTCCTTCCTGCTCAACGCCGGGCCCACCTGCAATATCGCACATCTCCGCGTCCGTGGCGTGGGCCAGAGCTTCCTCCAGCTCAGGCTCCAGAGTGATCTGCTCCTCGGCTGGAATCTCCCTCTTGGGTTCAATGAAGGGTTTTCCTGGGTGGGAGGACGGCGGCTCAGGGTCCCAGGGCGCTCACTTCCCCGAGGGCCCCCCCACGACCAGGCCAGCTCCCTGCCCTCCCCCAGAGTGGGATCCGGAGGATCCTGAGTCCGCTCAGGCCCAAGCTCCGGGAGCAACCCAGAGCCACAGGCAGACGTGGGGGTGTGGGCCGGCCCTGGGCGGCGGCATCGGCGGGGCCGGCCGTGTGGTGCGGACCTTTCTTCTCGCCGGTGTAGGGCACCAGGTCATCCCGCTCTTTGACTTCCAGTGCCTGCTGCTCCAGATACTGCAGAAGCGCGTCACGGTCCAGGGGGCCTGTGGGGCTCTTCTTGGTCTGGTCACGTTGTCGCAGCCCCGCTGGGAGGAGCATGTTCTTCACCGGGGTTTGGGGAAGAAAGTCAGACTTGGGGGCAGAAGCAGGTGCTGGCCAGACAGCAGGCAGGGTGCTGGCCTTGCACACAGCGACCCGGGTGCCATCCCCCACACCGCCAGAATGACCCCTGAATGCAGAGCCAGGAGTAAGCTCTGAGCAGCACCGGATGTGGTCGGGGGAAAAAAAAGAAAAAGGCCTCCAGGTCCGAGAGGTGGCTCTGGTCACAGCCACCCAGAGTGCCCAGGCCCCCGAGTGGGAGCCCTTACCTCAGGGTCCATCTCTTGCAGCTCACAGTCCAGCTGCTCCAGCTCTTCAGGGCTTAAGGTCCTGAGGATCTCGTCTTCATCGATGTCTCTGTACTTCTCCAACTCCTTCTGATACGATGACATGGTGGACCCCACCCCGTCCCCCGGGTGGCACCCACAGAGCCTGAGGGACAAAGGGACAGTCAGAGGACAATGGGGAGATGCGTGTGTACCCAGCAGAGACACACAAAAAAACAAGGGGTGGTACCCGGCAGGAAATGGATTCCGACTGGGATTCGGCCAGGGCCAGGCCTGGGAGGATGGGCAAGGCCAAGTCGTTGGACCTAAACCCGGGTCTTCAGGACCAGAGAAACAGTGCAGTGGGTCAGGCGCTTACCGTGGATGCAGCCGGCCCGAGTCCTATGCCTGGCACCACCACTGAGCACAGAGCCAGGAGCACAACAGGTATGGCCCGCCCCAGTTACCCCCACCAGAAAAAAATCCCTAACTAAGTCTCGTTCCTGCTCCCGGCTCAGGCCTGTGGCCGGGAAGCCGGGAGTCCTAACGGTTTGTTCCCACTGTACCCAGCGCAGCTCCGGTGGCACGCCCCGCACTCCGGCCCCGCCAGCTGCCAGGGGCCCTGCCAGAGCTGCTGGCCGCGGCCCAGTGCCTGCCAAGAGGAGGGGGGCAGCGGAGAACTTCAGGGAAAGATCCTCCTCCTCGTCACTGCAGCTCAGCCTTTTCCTCAACTTTTAAGAAAGCACAGAGGCAGGGGGCCGAGCGAGAGCACAGCAGGTAGGCGGTAGCCTTGCACGCGGCCGACCCGGGTTCGATCCCTGGCATCCCGTATGGTCCCCTGAGCACCGCCAAGAGGAATTCCTGAGTGCAAAGAAAGCCAGGAGTAACCCCTGGGCATTGCCGGGTGTGACCCAAAAAAGAAAAAAAAGAGAAAAAGCAAGCACAGATGCTCCGGGGTGGAGGCTCCCCGCCCCGCCCCCACCTCGGTCCCTTTTCACTGTTGATTCTAGATTTTCATTCTGTTTGTCCAAGTCCTAGACACTAAGGCAAGACAGATGGTGAGGTGAAACGGAGAGTCAGAAGGAGCTGAAATGGGAGACTCGCTGAATTTCTGAAGATATGGCCGAGTCCCCAGAATTTGTCCCTGGCTCTGGATGGGAAGGTGACACCAGACCAGTGGATGGGAAATGCCTTCTAAGTGGGATGACGCTTCCCCCAAGACAGGGATGACCAAGTGTGCCTGATCGCTTACGAAACGAAAAACACACAAGCCGCACACGCCCGCCGGGCTGAAGACGCCCCAGCGTGTGCCACTGAGCTGCAGGGTGAGCGGCGGGGGCAGACAGGGACACCCCGCGTGTCCTCCACGGGGCCCACGCTTGCCCACCCCTCTCCCACCACGCCCTGAGCCCCCAGCCCCCATCTGCCTCAGGTCCCTGTCCCGGAGGCCCCCCTTCTCACCGCCCCTTCTGTCGGTCGGTCTGTCTGTTCCTCTGGAGCCACTGTCCCGCCGCAGCAGGAGCGGGACAGGGAGGGGGAACAGTGAGCTCAGCATTTTATTATTTTAGCTCAGGCCAGGTGGGGGTGGTGGGAGATCATATATACACAGCCCCCATACCCTGCCCCGCCGGGAGCCTCTAGCGGCCGAGGGACGCCACGGCACCTCGCCTGCCAGGGCTCTGGAGAGAGCCCAGCGCTCAGGGGTTGACCAGATCTCCTGCATGCAAAGACGCACCCCAGCCCACTGGGATCTTTCCCAACCATTGGTATCGACACCAGCAGGAGTAAGCAGACTTGCTCCTGGATCTGTGCTCAATTGGTGCTTAGGCTGCCGGAGATCAAAGCCGGGTCAGTCCTGTGCAACTCAAGTACCCTAATGACCACTGCTCTGGCCCCTCCAATTTTAAGTTGTTTATAATTGCCACTGTCACTGTCCTCCCGCTGTTCATCGATTTGCTCGAGCGGGCACAGTACCATAGTGACACTTGTTACTGTGTCTGGCATATCGAGTACGTCACGGGGAGCTTGCCAGGCTTTGCCGTGCAGGCGAGATATTCTCGGTAACTTGCCGGGCTCTCCGAGAGGGGCGGAGGAATCGAACTGGGTTGGCCAGGTCGGAATACTTAAAATTTTTAAAAGATGGGGACCGAAGGATAGTTTAATGCTTTGCAGGCATCTGGCCTGGGTTCAATCTCTAGGATCCTTCATGGTCCTCCAAGCCCTGCCAGGAGTGATCCCAGAGCACAGGAGAGAACCAGGAGTAAGCCTTGAACACTCCCAGCTGTGGCCCCAAACCCCAAAAGAAATCAAATACAAATTTAAAAGAACTCATGATAAGTGCATATGCTGCCTGAACCCATGTGCCGCTGTGCCCACATGGCCGAGCACGTGTGGCCCGAGAACATGTGTTACTTGCCTCTTCCCTGTTGAGATGTGTCTAATGCTATTGAGATGTGTCTCTTTCCTGTCTAATGCTGGGGTGTGTGACGGGGCTCCCTCCACCCTTGGAGAAAACCTGTGTTCTCTCTTGATCACGTTACTCTCTCTACTCACCTTCAAAAACCTTCAAATAAAAATCTGTTCTACAAAAAAATAAGAGCTCATAATAAATATATACTCACTGTCACTGTCCTCCCGTTGTTCATCGATTTGCTCGAGCGGGCCCAGTAGCGTCTCCATTGTGAGACTTGTTACTGTGTTTGGCATATCAAATACGTCGCGGGGAGCTTGCCAGGCTTTGCCGTGCGAACTGTTACTGTCACTGTCCTCCCGTTGTTCATCGATTTTCTCGAGCAGGCCCAGTAATGTCTCCATTATGAGACTTGTTGCTACTGTGTCTGGCATATCGAATACGTCACGGGGAGCTTGCCAGGCTTTGCCGTGCGGGTGAGATACTCTCGGTAGCTTGCTGGGCTCTCTGAGAGGGGCAGAGGAATCGAACCTGGGTCGACCAGGTTGGCCGCATGCAAGGCTCACCCGCTGTGCTACCGCTCCAGCCCATATACACACAAGACATTCACAAATGCTTCCTGCTCCCAACCCTATATTATTAGACAACAGACAAAAGGGACCTTTCTATTTTATTTGGTTAAAAAACACAAACAAAACCAGCAGGGATTTGGAAAAGAAATACAGAGGGTCTGAGCACGGATTGAGGCTGAACGAGAGAGGCGGGACATCTGGGTTCTACAGGGAAGAGCGCAGGGAAGGTCTCCGAGGACCCCACTTTTGTTCATTTGATGACGATTCTCTGGCGCAGGCCCCGGGGCCCAGAGCCAGGGAGGGGCTCGGGCGGGGGTGGGCCAGGGCCCAGGGCGGAGGCGGTGGGCGGCAGGCCGTGGGCAGTGATATACTTCTTGTAGGCCTCGCGGATGATCTTGAAGGCGCGAGCAGTGGCATAGGGGATGTCTGTCACGGGGTCCCGGTACAGGGCAGGGCGATGGGTCACTGGACAGACCTCCCGGACCGGGACCTTGGGGGGCCGCCCTTGGGGAAACCATTCCTCAAATGTTGCGTCATCACTAAACGTGATGAAGGTCCGTGAGCAGCGAGCAGGAGGGATGGTCGGCGTGGTCCCAGAGCGAGGCGCCAACGCAGGTGCCAAGGGAGTTGGGTCCAGCCTGGGGGAAGACAGAAAACCACAGGGCTGAGTGGAGAGGTAGGAGGGCATGCAGGGCAGAGAGGGGAGGAGACAGGAGGAGGCAGAGGAAAATAAATGTTCGAAGACAGTGTATGATTTCTGGGCCGCACACAGCTGTGCTCAGGTCACTCCTGGAGGGGTCTCAGGGGATCCTCGAAGGGGCCTAAAGCTGGGTTGGCCGCATGCAAGGCAAGCACCCTACCCACTGGACTACTGCTCTTGCCCCCATTAATAGAGCCTCTTAGGGCTGGTACAGCAGGTAAAGCACTCGCCTCGCACGAGGCCGACCTGGCCTCACCCTCCAGCACCCCAGATGGTTCTCTGAGCCTGTCGGGAGTGATCCCGGAGTGCAGAGCCAGGCATGGGCTCTGGGCCCTGCTGGGTTTGGTCAAAAACCCAACCACCTAAAAGAATTCTTTTAAGAGAGCTGGGAAAAGCAAGCTGGGCTCGGTGGAAAAACAGAGAAGAGACGCTAGAAGAGAAAGAAAGGTGGCGGCGAAGGGATGGAAAGACACCCAACACTACCATGGGGGGAGGGCCCCTCCCCTTCACTCTCACCCTTCTATATCGACGTTCTCTTCTTTGGGACCCAGCTCCCCAACGAGTGGGACAGTCACTGAGTGGTATGTGATTATGGGTCCTGGGCACTTCCGTTTCTTGTGAACTAGCTTCTTTTTGTCAGCCTCAAGCCGCTCGTAAGTCTCTATGGAAAGAAACGAGAATGGTCAGTTGGCTGCCCTCTTTCTCACTTTTTTTCTTTTTCTTTTTCTGTCACACTCTCAACAATGCACTGGCGTTATTTCTGGCGGTGCTCGGGGGACCATGTGGGATGCTGGGAATCGAACCTGGGTCGGTCTCGTGCAAGGCAAACGCCCTACTTGCTGTGCTATCGCTCCAGCCCCATTTTTCTCACCTGTTTCGTCAGACTATTTTCCTGCTCTAAGTCACCGACAGCCCTAGCCACTTACGTTCTCAAAGGCGCTGGCATCTTCCTCAACTTTCTGCTGGGCGCATCTGACACCCCGGTCGTGTCACTCAGCACCTGCCAAATGTAGGGCTTCACGTGGGGAGACCCCTTGGGTGTGGCTGTCCAGAACTCCCCTCTGACACACTCTAGTAGAGAGGGTCCTTCCAGAGTTTGAGCTGAAGAACGACCCTTCCTCTTGCCACTAAGGCAAGAAAAAGACACAGGCCCAGACAGGGGCAAGAATGAAGGCCAGAGTCTCCAGAGTGTGGGATTATAATTCCAAGCATTTTAGTCTTTTTTTTTTCTTCTTTCTTTTTTTTATGTAGGAGTACTGCTATCTGTTCAGTCACTGATTAGGCTGATTGAATTGTGCATGAACTCCACGCATTTTAGTCTTAACACTGGGTTGTCCTTTCTCCTCCTGCAGAGTTTAGGTGAACTGAATTATACCCACTCTCGTGCTCCTGGGGAAACACCCAATTCCACTGGGGCACTCCCAAATCTTTAACCTCTCTTTTAGGGTCTTCTTCCCCTGTTAGTCACAAATATCTCAGAGTAACATAAAGTCAAACCATCTGCTGGCTCTGGATTTTGTATATGTAAGTGAAATATTATGATGGGTCTCATTCTCCTAAATAGCCCTGAATATAATCTCAGGGCTAGGATGAAAGAGACGTTACTGGGGCCTGCTCGAGGCAATCGACGAATAACAGGATGATGAAATGAAAGTGAAATGAATGAAGTGAAATATTGCTATTCTCTTTCCTTCATGTCCTTTGCATAATTTTATTTTAGAGCAATGTCATTTTTGTACAGACACGGGAAGACAGTTAATACCATGCTTTTCCAATCTGAGACTTAACTGCCTCCGAATAGTATTTACTCTGGGCACCTGTCATATTTTCTTGACTTAAGCCTCAGCTGCCCTTAGACTGCCTTGGTTTCTTACACTCCAAAAGATGGGTCCCACTGAGGGGCTCAGATGGGCCTGGAGCAGGATGTACGCCGCCCTGTCTTTGAGAAGAGAGCGCCTAAGTGCCATGAGAAATATAACAAATTAAGAACACGGTCATGGAACGAACTCTGACATGACCCAGAATGAAGTAGCTGAGTAAGAAACCTATTGGGGTTAGGAAAAACTAACTGGCCTGAGGACTGTAGTCTGGGAAATAGAGGAAAAGTCAACCTTTACCTTGAGTTCAAAGGGACCATTTTAAGCTTAATCTAGGGCACGGATAAAAACCTTTACTTCTTACTATGCTTTGCTCGAGCGGGCCCAGTAACGTCTCCATTGGAGACTTTGTTGTTACTGTGTCTGGCATACTATGCTTATACAAAATTATTAGAAATGTTATTTAAAAATTTAATATGGTCGTTTATTGTTCAACCACGGATGTGTAATTGCTGCCCCCAGCCCTTGATGATTTCTCTATAATGCTGACAGATTCGAATGAGGCGCCACTGGCCTACCAGTCTGTGGACTTCGTCCATCATCTGGGGGATGGTCATCAAACCTAAACACATCAGGGGACCCATCACCACGAGATGGTGACTCAGACACTCAGCACTCTCAGAGTTCATCCCAAAGGGTACTACGACACACAGCAACCAAGGGAGCGCCACAACCAAGTATGTAAACGCCATGACCAAGTGTGTGAGCTCTGGACACTGCACAGCAGCAGAGAGGGGTGGGGAGAGGGAGTGGGAGTACACAGTCTAATCTGTCTTCCACGTAACAGTCCTTTAAATAGCTGCAGTGAGGCGCAGGCAGCCAGAAGACAGCACAAAGACAGGAGAGCGCGCCTTGAGGGCGTCGAACCAGAAGCCAGACCCTAGCACACCACCTTCAACAGCAGCAATGCCCGGGCAGGCTGGCAAGGACTGGCTCCAGTGCGTCCAGGGACTGCTGGAAAGGCTCCACAAAACAGACACAGGGGCTTGCTCTGCAGCTGGGAGGCTGAGCTCTAGTCACTAGCACTGTCTGGTCTCATGAGCACTGTCTGGTCTCAAGCTGGGGGTGGAACTTGAGCACTGCAGGAAATGGCATATAACAAAGACAGTGACTAGTTGCAATGAGTACACCTGCCTCTCCAGGCTGCTGGCAACATCCACTCTCCGTTCATCATGGCTCCAGCCCCTCCCCGCTCTTGCCACCTCAAGGCCAGACCACTTTTTGTTTTGGGGGGTGGGGGGGGGGGTCACACCTGGCAGCGTTCAGCCATTACTCCTGGCTCTTAGTTTACGATCGCTCCTGAAGGACCACCAAGGGTGCTGGGGATGGAACCGGGGTCGGCCAGAGACAAGGCAAATATGCCCTACCCACCGTACTATCTCACCATCCCCTGAGAAAGGGAAGTTGATGTTAGATGCTGGTATTTAACAATCTGGAATTATATCAAGGGACTGGAACGATAGCACAGAGGGCAGGGTACTTGTCTTGCATGACAACCTGGTTTCAACATCCTATATGGTCCCCCAAACCCACCTGAGTGATGCAGAGCCAGGAGTAAGCCCTAAGAACAGGTGGTCTGGCTCCAAAATAAAACACAAATTAACACAGAAGGGCCGGAGAGAATTCAACAGGCTGAGCATGTACTTCACATTCTCTGGGCACAGAGCCGGGAGCAGCCTCTGAGCACCACAGCACGTGGCCCATACCAGACCAAAACCAACAAAAAGAGGCGGGGCCTGAGACACTACACTGGGGAAGGGACCCGCCTTACAAGCAGCTGGTCCGAGGGCAACTCCCTGCACCACAGAGACGGCTCTCCAAGCCCTGCAGGAGTGATCATACCTGAGCACAGACCAGCAGTCAGCCCCAGGCACAGTCGGATGCGGCTCCCCTTTCTCCCCCAAGAGAGAAGGATGTTTTCTGGGGCTGGAGCGGTAGCACAGCGGGTAGGGCGTTTGCCTTGCACGCAGCCAACATGGCCCACACAGGTTCGATTCCCAGCATCCCATATGGTTCCCTGAGCACCGCCAGGAGCGATTCCTGAGTGCATGAGCCAGGAGTAACCCCTGAGCATCGCCGGGTGTGACCCAAAAAGCAAAAAAACAAAACAAAACAAAAAAAAAGAGAGAAGGATGTTTTCCCACAGTGACTCAATAAATAAATAAAAAGAAAAATAAATAAATGAAACTATGAAAAAAAAAGTAAGGTGGAGTTCATGCCCAAATCAATCAGCTAATCAGTGGCTAAATAAATAGCAGTACTCCTACATAAAAAAAGGAACAAAAAAAGAGAGAGAAGTATGAACCAGATAGCTGGTTGCTACTTTGTTTGGCATAGTGAATACGTCACAAGGAGTTTGCCAGGCTTTGCCGCGTGGGTGAGATACCCTCAGTAGCTTGCTGGGCTCTCCGAGAGGGGCGGAGGAATCGAACCCAGCTCGGCTGATCCAGCCGCGTGCAAGGTAGATGCCCTATTGCTCCAGCCCAGAACAGTGGGTAGGATGCTTTTCTCCCTTGCTAAAAATTCCCTACGGCATCCTGTCAGTTATCAATGTCAGAGCCTGGGAGTCCCACTCCTTGCAGAAGCCTAAACCAATCAGTATCAAGGTAAAGGTAAAGGTAAAGGCCCTCCTTTGCTCAAGCGGGCCCAGTAACATTGTGAGACTTTACTGTGTTTGGCATATATTTCGAATACATCACGGGTAGCTTGCCGGGCTCTCCGAGAGGGGCGGAGGAATCGAACCCGGGTCGGCCATGTTGGCTGCGTGCAAGGCAAACGCCCTACCGCTGTGCTATCGCTCCAGCCCCAGCCAGTATCAAAGGAAACAATTTATAATTACAGTAAGGAGTAGCTATTTTTTTTTGGGGGGGGCACTCCTGGCAGTGCAAGAGACATGTAACACTGGGGGTTCAAGCCTGGGGCTCCCACATACAAAGTAATGAGATATTCCAGGTCTCTGTAGTTATAACTTTTTACGTGAAGGAGAGGTTGGTGCAAACCCAGCAGTGCTCAGGGATTAAACTGGGCTAGCAGCCTGAAGTGTTTTGACTCTTGTACTATTTCTCTGCACCTCTCTTTAGCTAAGGTTTTTTGTTTTTTTTTGCTTTTTGGGTCACACCCGGCGATGCTCAGGGGTTACTCCTGGCTCGTGCACTCAGGAATCGCTCCTGGCGGTGCTCGGGGGACCATATGGGATGCTGGGAATCGAACCCGGGTCGGCCATGTTGGCTACGTGCAAGGCAAACGCCTTACCCGCTGTGCTATTGCTCCAGCCCCTTTAGCTAAGGCTTTCTGTTAGTTGGGTTTTGGGTCACACACACCATTGTTCGGGGCTTATTCCTGGTTCCTGGGAGATCCTATCTGCAAGAATGAACTAATGTCTGTTGCATGCATGGGAGGTACCTTATCCCTTGTACTATCTGACTCTAGCTAATTTCTTTCCCCCCGCTTTTTGGGCTACACCCAGTGATGCTCAGGGGTACTTCTGGCTCGGCACTCCGGAATTACTCCTGGCGGTGCTTGGGGGACCATACGGGATGCCGGGAATCGAAACCCGGTGGTCTGTGTGCAAGGCAAATGCCCCACCTGCGTACTATCACTCCAGCACCCCAGCTAAATTTTTATTTCCTTTTTTATTTATTGAATCACTGTGGGAAAAGTTACAAAGCTTTCAGGTTTAAATCTCGGTCATGCAATCATCAAACACATTTCCCTTCACCAGTACTTAACCTTCACCACCAAGAACCCCATATACCCCCCCCAACACTCCCAATGCCTATGAGAAGGATGAATTCTAGTTAACACTCTATCTACTTTGATTAGATTCATTGTTTCGACAAAAGATGCACCATTATTATTTAGAGTTTACACCCCAAAATCAGACCTGCTGAAAAGGCATTGCGAAATGATTTGTTTTCTACAGCTGGTTACAAGAACCAAATGATTCTGGATTTCTGATATTTTACTTATTAAGCCTGGAAGTATTTCTGCCGAGAGTCAGATAATTATGAGATTGGTTTCTATGGCTCTGGAGCCATGGCCATGCCGGAGAGCCGCTCGCCAGCTAAATTTTTAAAGTACTAAATTACCATTATCTTTATTAAAAAGGAAAGCAAGATTCAAATCAGGTTAAACAGCTTGTGTGTAGTGTAGTTCACCCTCATCCCATTAGTTTTTGGGCCACACCCAGCAATGCGCATGTCCAGCAATGCTCGGGGCTTACTCCTGGTTCTGTGCTCAGGGATCACTTCTGGTGGTGCAGAGACCTTGAGGGACCATGAATACTGCTGGGAAGGACTGAACCCAGGTAGGCTGCGTGCAAGGCTAGCGCCCTCCCTGTGACACTATCTCTCTATCCCCACAGTCAATTTTTTTGGGGTGTCCCCGACCTGACAAGCTGCTGGGAATCACTCCTGATGACCTTCAGGAACTGAGGGCGAAGTATGTGCTCCAGTCCTGTAAGACCTCTCCCTGCTCTGGCCTCTGCCTGCAGTCTTACTGCAAGTAAGCCAGAGAACCGGGACCAAACTCTATATACCACTTTTTCCTGGAGGGTAGGTTCTGGTTCTGTGTCACTCCTGATGTGGCTCAGGGGACAATTATGTGGTGCTAAGGACTGAACTGCCCCATATGGGTCTGTTGCCTCCAAGCTATACTATGGCTCCAGCTCCTCTGTCACCGTCACTGTCCTCCCGTTGTTCATCGCTTTGCTTGAGCGGGCCCAGTAACGTCTCCATCGTGAGACTTTCTTGTTACTGTGTCTGGCATATTGAATACATCACGGGGAGCTTACCAGGCTTTGCCGTGCGGGTGAGATACTCTCGGTAGCTTGCCGGGCTCTCCAAGAGGGGCGGAGGAATCGAACTCGGGTAGGCCATGTTGGCTGCGTGCAAGGCAAACGCCCTACCCACTGTGCTATCGCTCCAGCCCCCAGCTCCTCCATACAACTTTTTTTTTTGGTGAGCAGAGTAAGGGTGCTCAGGAATGACTCTTGGCATGCTCAGAGGACCATAATGCGATGCTAGGACTGACCCAGTGTCAGCTGCAAGCAAGGCAAGAACATTACCCTGGTAAGATTCTTGGGGCTGGTGTGACAGACCAGCCTGGGGAAGGCGCTGGCCTTGCATGTGGCCGACCCAGGTTCAATCCCCAGCATCCCGCATGGTCCCCCAAGCACTCTCAAGTAATTCCTGAGGCAGAGCCACGAGTAAGCCCTGAACATCCACCGCTGCGTGTGACCCAAAAAGCAAAAATAAATAAATACATAAATTAAAAAGATTCTCTACGTGCCTCTTAATTCAAACCCAAGAACTTCAATATGATGTGTTCGTCACAACGCTCCAGACTGCCCGGCTCTCTGCCCTGAACTCTTCTTCTTCTCCTTCCCGTGTCTCCTCACCCCCCTTGCCCGGCGCGAGAGGGCTCAGCCCTCCCTTCACGCTGCTGCGAAACCGTGTCACCCACCCAGTGAGCGCAGGTTGAGCTCCTCGGTGATCTTGGCCTCCCTGAGCAGTTCTTCCTGGGTCAGTGGCCGCTCACAGTGAGGCCCCTTCCGTCGCCGTGACTGGCCCTGCCTCTCCTGCACGCGAAGGAACGTCTGCCGCGTGTGCTCAGCTGTAGACTGGCGCATGGACTTCCGGCCTAGGGAACAAAGGCAGAGGAGAGATCTCGGAGCTGGGATCTGCCTCGATCACAAAACCATTAGCAAATTTTTCTCTTGGGGAGGAAATGGGTTGGTGGGTCGCGCCAGGCAGCGCTTGGTGACTAAGCTCTTGGAGGCTCCACCAACAAAGCATGTGCCCCAGGCCTTTTGAGCCACTCCCAGGCTCCAAATCATGTCTGGGGGCCACACCCAGCGGTGCTCAGGGCTTAGTTCTGGCTGTGTCAGGGATCACTCCTGGCCGGATCGGGGACTAAATGGGATACCAGGGATCAAAGCGCCCTACCTGCTGTATTATTGCTCCCGTCCACCAAATACAATTTTTTTTTCTTTTGGCGGTCACACCCAGCGATGCACAGGGATTACTCCTGGCGGTGCTCGGGGGACCATATGGGATGCTGGGAACCAAACCCGGGTCAGCCACATGCAAGGCAAACGCCCTACCCACTGTGCTATTGCTCTAGCCCCCCACCAAATAATTTTTAACTGATGCGACATTTGAGGGTTAGGCTTTAGACATACTCTCTGGTGCTCCGGGGCTATCCCTGGCCCTGAGCTCTGCAGTGACCCACGAACCTCAGGGCACTCAAACTGAGGTCAGCCACATGCAAGTGCCTTATGATCTCTCCAAATCAACATTTTTTTTATTTTTATTAACTTATTTTGGTTTTGGGGTCATAACCAAGAGTATTCAGAGCTTACTCCTGGCTCTGTTACCAAGAATCAAGAATCACTTCAGGTGGGGCTCAAGGAACCACACAGGGAGCCTGCCATTGATCCCGGGTCAGCTGCTTGCAAGGCAAACACCCTACCCACTATATTCTCTCTCCAGCCCTAGTAAAGGTAAAGGTAAAGGCCCTCCCGTTGATCGTCGATTTGCTCGAGCGGGCCCAGTAACGTCTCCATTGGAGACTTTGTTGTTACTGTGTCTGGCATATCCAATACTCTCGGTAGCTTGCCGGGCTCTCCGAGAGGGGCGGAGGAATCGAACTCGGGTCGGCCATGTTGGCCGCTTGTAAGGCGAACGCCCTACCCGCTGTGCTATCGCTCCAGCCCCCTAGTAACATTATTTATTTTACTCTTTGGGTCACACCTGGCAACGCTCAGGGGTTACTCCTGGCTCTGCCTCAGGAACTACTACTCCTGGTGGTGCTCAGGGGACCCCATGGGATGCCAGGGATCAAACCTGGGTAGCTGCGTGCAAGGCGAATGCTCTACTCACTGTACTATTGCTCCAGTTCCAGTAACATTTTTTTTTCTTTTTGAGTCATACCTGGCAATGCACAGGGGTTACTCCTAGCTCTACACTCAGGAATTATTCCTGGCAGTGCTCGGGGGACCATATGGAATGCCGGGAATCGAACCCGGGTTGGCCACATGCAAGTCAAACACCCTACCCGCTGTGCTAATCGCTCCAGCCCCTCCAGCAACTTTTTTTTTCTTTTTGGGTCACACTGGGCGATGCACAGGGGTTACTCCTGGCTCATGCACTCAGGAATTACTCCTGGCAGTGCTCAGGGGCCCATATGAGATGCTGGGAATCGAACCCGGGTTGGCAGCTTGCAAGGCAAACGCCCCTACCCGCTTGTGCTATTGCTCCAGCCCTGTCAGTAACATTTTTTAAACAAACAAACTTTGCATTCTTCGTGGGCAAATTTTTCCCTAGAACCAGAGCTGGGCTGTACACATTACAGCTTTCTCCTGCACACGCTATGGCTCTCTCTCTGTGAATATTTTAGTAAGTATTCCCTAAAAAGGTTCTTCCTGGGGCTGGAGCAATAGCACAGCGGGTGGGGCATTTGCCTTGCATGCAGCCGACCCTGGTTTGATTCCCAGCATTCCATATGGTCCCCCGAGCACCACCAGGAGTAATTCCTGAGTGCATAAACCAGGAGTGACCCCTGAGCATCGCCGGGTGTTACTCAAAAAGTGAAAAAAAAAAAAAAGGTTCTTCCTTACATGGTCATAGTGTGGATGTTAACTTTAGTGAATTTGAACTGGGTTTTACTTTAACATGTTGCTCCCAATTTGTGAACTGAGGCAAACATCTCCACTCACTGTCTGCGCCATCATCTTGCAGTTCTAGTGGAAGCAGAACCTTCTCTTCCCGGGCTTTCTGGGTGCTTACAGCCGGGCTGCTGACCTTTCGAGGACGAAGGCTCTTGAGAGGCTCCTGGGGACAGATACGAACCAGGAAAGAGAAAGAAAATGAGGATGTTTATTATTTAATATCTTTTTTTGACCATGGACCGTGCAGTGCTGGGAACTGAGCCAGGGCTGGTATGTGTTATCCTGGAGCCATCTCTTCAAGCCTCGGTAGATGAAAAGGATTTTTTCCTATTTTCAATTTTCAGATAACTACTGGTGGCGCTCAGGGGCCTGCGAGGTCTCAGGAATTAAACCCAGGGCTCCCAACACGCAGAGCACTCCAGCCTTTTGAACGATCTCCTTGGCCCCAGAGACGAGGGTCTTGAGAGAAAACAAGCACTGCAGGAAAGGGGACTGGGGTGGGGGTACCAGCACGGGGTGCGAGAACAGAGAGCCAGAACGGACCTTATAGGCTTTGGTGACCACCCGGCGCTTGCGTCGCGGCTCTTCTGCTTCCCCGTCACTGGAAGGCTCATCCCCTTCATCAATGTCGAAGTCTGAGTCCACCTCATCCTCCGTGTCGGACTGGTCCCCTTGATACTCGTCGTCTCCCGATTCCTGAGGACACAGGCAGATGAGCATCTTGCCGGTGTGGAAGTCTGGGGGGGGGACAGAATGCTCCTCCAGGGGAACAGAATGTCACCGCTCTTCATTTTTCACAAGCAAAAACAAAAAAACTTGTCATAACTAGATGAGCTCTGCACGACCCCTCCGAAACTCACTGATCGCCCTGAAAGGGAATAAGGGTATATAGGAAAAAAAAAAAAAAAGGTTGTAGGGTCTGGGGCAATACTACAGCAGGCTGGGCACTTGCCTTGCACATGACCAACCTAGTTTCCCACCCCAGTACCCCCCATAAGGTCCCTTGAACCCCACGAGCCAGGAGTAAGCCCAAAAATGAAAAAGGGGGAAAAAGGACCAACAGTCGGGGACAGCTCCTATGAATAGTGGGGACCCAATAAGGGGGCTGTACGGGCAGTAAGTGTGTATGAGGTGTTTGAAGGATTGGAAGTCAGGCGGCATCGCGCAGAGAACATGGAGTGCAGCCTAGCGCTCTGGCGATGCAGATTAGGGCTAGAATGGCAGCCAAATGGGAAAAGGGAATCCTCAGGGCAGGATGGCGCCCCAAACAGGTGCCCTCTTCAATCAATGATGCAGACTCTCACAGCTAATCTCACCACCAATGCTGCTAAACCAAGAGAATAACAAAGACGGGGAGAGAGTTGGCAGGCTCGAGCCTGCCCCTGCCAGCGTTTAGTCCTGCACTGTCGACCATCAGATCCTCCCAAGTGAAGTTTGTAAAACAGTCCGGGAACACAGTAATCCCCTCGGTCTAACCAGGTATTAAATCTATCGCCAGGAGGGAGAAGTTTAATTAAGAAGGTGGTAGCCCAATTACCCATGAGCTTAGTATCTAGTCGAAATGCTTTCACTTAAGTTACACATTTACAATCACCCCTAAGGGTCAGTAACAGCCATGACAAGGTCAATGACACAGGGACAGAGCAATAGTATAGCCGTTGGAGCATCTGCCCTTGCACATGGCTGACCGGGTTTCAATCCCCAGTACCCCGTATAGGCCCCCAGAGCCTGCCAGAAGTGATCCCTGAGCATACAGATGGGTGTGGCCCCCAAAACAAAAATAAAAACAAAAAGATTAAAGATGCTTAAGTATCAGACCGGAGCAATAGCACAGAGGGTAGGGCGTTTGCCTTGCACGCGGCCGACCTGGGTTCAATCCCCGGCATCCCATATGGTCCCCCAAGCACCGCCAGGGGTAATTCCTGAGTGCAGAGCCAGGAATAACCCCTGAGCATCACTGGGTATGACCCAAAAAGAAAAAAAAAAAGAAAAGAAAAAAAAAGATGCTTAAGTATCATCTCCCAAATACACTTCTTTTTGTATCTTTCACAAAGACACACACGGGACTGGAGCGATAGCACAGCGGTAGGGCGTTTGCCTTGCACGCAGCCAACATGGCCAACCCGAGTTCGATTCCTCCACCCCTCTCGGAGAGCCTGGCAAGCTACCGAGAGTATCTCGCCCGCACGGCAGAGCCTGGCAAGCTCCCCGTGACGTGTTCGATATGCCAGACACAGTAACAACAAGTCTCACAATGGAGACGTTACTGGGCCCGCTCGAGCAAATCGATGATCAACGGGAGGGCCTTTACTTTACTTTACTTACAAAGACACAACTCTCCCTAGGTTTTAATGATGAAAAAATATCTCTTAAACATTGGGGGGGGGGGGGGGGGCTGAAGAAACAACAGGTAAAACGCCTGCCTTGCATGCGCCTGACATGGACTCATCTCATTTCTTGGCAGCCCATCTGGTCCCCAGAGCCCTGCTCGGAGAGATCGTTGAGCACAGAGTCGGGAATAAGCCCTGAGCTCTACAGAGGTAGACCCAAACCCAAAACAAAACCAAGATTTTTTTGGCTGGCTGGCCAGACCCAGTGGTGTATGGGGGTCACTTCTGGCAGTGCTCAGGGAACCAGGCGATGTCCAGGCTAGAACCCAGTCTCCCACATGCGGAGCAAGCACTCAGCCCACCCTCTGAGCTATTTCCCGGGCCCTCTCTTAAAAAGTTTGTTTCTGAATAAATCAGGTTCAACTCTGGTTCCCATGTGTTTCTGGGGGGGGGCGGGGGGAAGAAATTCAGGGTTGACATCCAGAAAATTCAGAGGCTCTAAGCTTACTGTTTGAGCAGAGGCTCTTAGCATAATTACTTCTGATTTGTCTCTATTTTTACTGTTCCTTTTTGTTTATACCATAAGCCTCCTTAAATCCTTTTTGGATGCATGAAGGGTACATATTAAATAACAACTATAAACGACAGGAATAGGAAAATGGCCTTTGGGGAAAGGGTGAGAAAGTTCTATTTTAAAGCAGCTGATTCGTGTTCGCTGTGGATTTTATTTCCTTTATTTTTATTGAACACCTTATCCATCCTTGTTCCTCTATTCCTAGTCCCCCTCCTTCACATGTTGTATGGTTTGAGGGCTGCACAGCGTCCCACCCACACTGGGGGCCATCTCCCCAGCACCCACTGCCTCTTTTAAGCCGTTCTCATTACAAAACGATCTCTCTAAAGTTCAATTCACTTGTGAAACTTAAACCGAAGCTTCAGTCTTCTGGATGGAGGGATACACTGACGTACTTCCCCTGGCCCGTGACCTTGGCCATCGTCACTCCTTCCTAGTCTGGAACTTCAGGGGACTTCAGTATCCCAGACAGGCCTTCGGTGCCTTTATTCCTGATCCACCCACCCCACGCATGAAGGTACCGGCAGAGGAACAAAGGCATGCGGGTCCCGGGGCTGAGATCTCCAAACCTGCTCGGATCGGGGCTGAGCATCTTCCACCTCCAAATTCCAGTAGGCGGGGGTCACACCCACCAACTGGCCCCCTGGCGCCATGTAATCCCATCAACGGCCAAGACCCAGAGACTATAAAACCCAGATCCCAGAAGAGAACAGCTCAGAGTCTCCTGCCCTTGCGCCTGGCTGTCCTCGCCTGGGCCCCTTGGAAGGGAGTGGGTTGAGTTTCCCTCCCTGCCCCGACCAGGGCTCCGGCAGTCGAAGACCTCCAGGACCAGCCACCACCATGCTGAGACTCTTCTCCGCACACATGAAGGTACTGGCAGAGGAACAAAGGCATACGGGTCCCGGGACTGAGATCTCCAAGCCTACTTGGATCGGGGCTGAGCATCCTCCACCCAGATCCTCCAAATTCCAGTAGGCGGGGGTCACACCCACCAACTGGACCCCTGGCACCAAGTAATCCCATCAGCGGCCAAGACCCAGAGACTATAAAACCCAGCTCTTATTATCTCATTCTTGCTTTGGACAACCTGGCAGGCTACTGAACATAACCTGCCCACAGGGCAGAGTCTGGCAAACTCCCCGTGGCGTCCCCAACATGCCAAATACCAGTAACAACGATGGGTCTCATTCTCCTAACTCCGGAAGAGCCTTGAATATGGCACTTTTTAAAAAATCTCAGGGCTAGGACGAAGGAGACGTTACTGGGGTCTGCTCGAGGCAATCGAGGAACAACAGGATGGTTGTTGTCCGTGATCATGACCCACCCCACAGACTGATCGTTTCCACTCGTTCGGTCTTCAACCCACCAAGACTTTGCTTCATACTGTCCTAGCAACACACACACACACACACACAAAAGCACCGGATGCTTACCACTAGTTCTATAAACTGACACATATGTGTGTATACATACATCACGCAAACAAAAGTGTTTTGGTTTTGTTTTGTTTTGCTTTTTGGGTCACACCTGGCAATGCACACGCGTTCCTCGTGGTTCATGCACTCAGGAGTCACCCCTGGCGGTGCTCGGGGGACCATCTGGGATGCTGGGACTCGAACCCGGGTCGGCCGCGTGCAAGGCCAACGCCCTCCCCGCTGGGCTGTCGCTCCGGCCCCAAAGTGATTTTTCAGACCCCCCCAAGCTGAGCAGCGCCCGTGACCCGGAAGGAGTTCGTGCAGGGCGCGCCCGGGCCAGCGGGCCCAGGTCAAGCCGAGGGACCCGGGTCCGGCGCTCGCGTCTCTTCGGATGGAGCCGTCGGGGGCCCAGGGGAGGAAACGCAGCCCCGTCCCGGATCGAGGAGGCGGGCGGGGGGCGCGCGCCCCCCCCGCGGGAGACCCTCCTCCTCCTCGCGCTTTCCCCGGGCCCCTCGGCCCCGCCCCCCTTTGTCGCGCTCCCCTCCCCCCGCCCCGCGCCCGCGCGCGGCCCTCGCCTCGGTGAAGCCGCCGTAGGTCGTCTGGTAGAACTCGTCCTCCTCCTCGGCCTCCAGGAGCCCCGAGAGCCGGTTCCCCCGCGGTCTTCCTGGGGGCGCGACCCCCGGCCAGGCTCATGGCGCAGCCGGGACTCGCCGCCGCCGCCGCCGCCGCCGCCGCGGCCCCGCACCCCGCAAGCGCCGCGCTCGGCGCTCGGCGCTCGACGCCGCCACCTGCGCGGGCCGCGCCGGGCTCAGGCAGGAGCAGCCGAGCGCCGAGCGCGCGGGCCCCGCCCCGGGGAGCCCCGCCCCCCCGCCCCGCCCGCTCCCGGAGGCCCCCGCCCCCCAGCCCCTCACCTCCCCCCGGAGACCACGCCCCGCCCGCCCGCTCCCGGAGGCCCCGCCCCCGCCCCTCGTCTCCTCCCCTCCCCCCGGGGAGCGCCGCCCCCCGCCCCGCCCGCTCCCGGAGGCCCCGCCCCCCGCCCCCTCGCCTCCCCCGGAGACCACGCCCCCGCCCGCCCGCTCCCGGAGGCCCCGCCCCCACCCCTCGTCTCCTCCCCTCCCCCCGGGGAGCGCCGCCCCCACCCCCGCCCGCTCCAGGAGACCCCGCCCCTGCCCCCTCGGCTCCCCCCTCCCCCCGGAGACCCCTCCCTGCCCCCTCGGCTTCCCCCTCCCCCCGGAGACCCCGCCCCCACCCCTCGGCTCCTCCCCTCCCCCCGGAGACCACGCCCCCGCCCCTCGTCTCCTCCCCTCCCCCGGAGACCACGCCCCCGCCCCTCGTCTCCTCCCCTCCCCCCGGAGAGCACCGCCCCCCGCCCCGCCCGCTCCCGGAGGCCCCGCCCCTGCCCCCTCGGCTCCCCCCTCCCCCCGGAGACCCTGCCCCCCCGCCCGCCCGCCCCCGGAGACCCTGCCCCCGCCCCCTCGTCTCCTCCCCTCCCCCCGGAGACCCCGCCCCTGCCCCCTCGGCTCCCCCCTCTCCCCGGAGACCCCGCCCCCCCCGCCCGCCCGCCCCCGGAGACCCTGCCCCCGCCCCCTCGGCTCCCCCCTCCCCCCGGAGACCCCTCCCTGCCCCCTCGGCTTTCCCCTCCCCCCGGAGACCCCGCCCCCACCCCTCGTCTCCTCCCCTCCCCCCGGAGAGCACCGCCCCCCGCCCCGCCCGCTCCCGGAGGCCCCGCCCCTGCCCCCTCGGCTCCCCCCTCCCCCCGGAGACCCCTCCCTGCCCCCTCGGCTTCTCCCTCCCCCTGGAGACCCCGCCCCCACCCCTCGTCTCCTCCCCTCCCCCCGGAGAGCACCGCCCCCCGCCCCGCCCGCTCCCGGAGGCCCCGCCCCTGCCCCCTCGGCTCCCCCCTCCCCCCGGAGACCCCTCCCTGCCCCCTCGGCTCCCCCCTCCCTCCGGAGACCCCTCCCTCCCCCCGCCCGCCCCCGGAGACCCTGCCCCCCGCCCCCCTCGTCTCCTCCCCTCTCCCCGGAGACCCCTCCCTGCCCCCTCGGCTCCCCCCGCCCCCCGGAGACCCCGCCCCCCCCGCCCGCCCGCCCCTGGAGACCCTGCCCCCGCCCCCTCGTCTCCTCCCCTCCCCCCGGAGGCCCCGCCCCCGCCCCTCGGCTCCCCCCCTCTCCCCGGAGACCCCGCCCCCCCGCCCGCCCGCCCCCGGAGACCCTGCCCCCGCCCCCTCGTCTCCTCCCCTCCCCCCAGAGGCCCCGCCCCCGCCCCTCGGCTCCCCCCCTCTCCCCGGAGACCCCGCCCCCCCCCGCCCGCCCGCCCCCGGAGACCCTGCCCCCGCCCCCTCGTCTCCTCCCCTCCCCCCGGAGAGCGCGCCCCCCGCTCGCCCCGGGAGAGCCCTTCCCCGCCCCCCCCCCCCCCGTCCCCCCTCCCGCCCCCGCCCCCGGAGGGCGCCCCCCGCCTGCAGGCGAGCCGAGCCCGCGGACGAGAGCGGGCGGCGTCGGGCCTGGAAGGGTCGGTCTGAGCGCTGGAGTCGAGCGTCACGACCCCGAGACCAGAACCTGGGAGTTCGTGGAGTCTCACTTAGGGCCGAGCGGTCGGGCACTCGCCTGGCCCGCGTAAGCCGGGTTCTTGCCCGGCACCACGCACGGGCCCCTGAGCCCGCTTGGATGCGGCCTCAAAAAAAACGAAAGCTTTTCATTTGGGAGTCCTTCTCGGTTTTTTTTTTTCCATTCTGCTGCCAGTGGAAATCTATCTAAAAACCCGGATTCTAAAAAAGTTTTTAAATGAAAACCCAAATTCTGACACTCTTCTACACAAAAAGCTTTAATTGGGTGAGCTGGGGGGGACCAGGCCTGAGAGGATAATGCTGCCTTGCAAGTAGCCGACTCCGGTTAAATCCCGGTACTGGGGGCTGGAGAGACAGCATAGAGGGTCGGGCGTTTGCCTTGCACGCGGCACACCCGGGTTCGATTCCCAGCATCCCATGTGGTCCCCTGGGCAGAGCCAGGAGTAACTCCCAGGGGCAGAGCCAGGTGTGACCCAAAAAGCAAAAAATAAATAAATAAATTCCAGTACTGCATATAGTCCCCAAACATTGATCCCTGAGCCCAGAGCCAGACCAAAAAAACAAAAAGACAGCCCCACCCCTCCCCAAACCTTAATGGGTGCTTGTTATCTACAGGATAGTTTTTAAAATCCCTGGTGCAGTAGCATGGTCAGGAAAACAGTCAGAGCAAGCCAGACCTGAGTTTAAGGTCTTGGAACAAATTGCTCTGGCTCTGAATATGTTTTCTCCTTTGTGAAGTGGGACTAATAATAACACTCTTCTTTTGAGATTGTCGAGAATGTTAAAGATGTAATCCTTGCAATCCGACTAGCACAGTATTTGGCGGGCACACAGGTGGTTAGAAAGTGGTACATGGTACTTACCATGCATGCTTCATAGTTTGGCCTCTAACCTCCTGCACATCATCCCATTCTCATTCCACTTCTTTAACAGCAAAATTGTCATGCCTCAGTGCTTTGTCCTTCCCTAAAATGTTTATCCTTTCTTGTCGCCTACCCAAGTTACAATTATTATTTTTTTTTGTGGATATGTGTGTGTGTGGGGAGGGGGGCTGACACCCTGAGGTGCTTGCTCGGGGCTTCTTCCTCGTTCTAAGTGACTGTGTGCCAGACAAGTATTGTAATCACTACACTAACTTTCAGGCCTCCAAATTTTTCTGTGGGACACTGAAAACTTGCAGTTGTTTATTCCTCTCTTGCCAGTAGTACAGTTCCCCATCACCATGGAATCATGTCTTCTAGATTCTCTGAAATATTTCCAGTTTGTCATAGTCTGTGAGACTTTAAAGACTTTTCTTTCCTTGGGGCTGGAGAGAGAGTACAGGTAAGGTGTTTGCCTTGCCCATGGCTGGCCAGGGTTTGATCCCCGGCACCCCGTTCGGTCCCCCAAGTATCATCAGGAGTGATCCCTGAACGCAGAGCCAGTAGTTGTAATCCCAGAACATCACTTTGTGTGCCCCCCCCACTTAAAAAAAAAAAAAGATGGACTGGAGTGACAGTAATTTCTAAATGCAGAGCCAGAGGTAACCCTGTGCATCGCCAGGTGTGACCCGAAAAGCAAACAAACAAAAAATAAAGACTTCTCATTTTTCATTTTTTTTTCCTTTCTTTTTCTTTTTTCTTTTTAATTTTTATTAGTGAGACATCATGAGGTACAGTTGTAGACTTACAAATTTTTGTGCTTGGGTTTCATCATTTTTCATTCTTAAAATCTGAATGTCAAACCATTGCTCTTGTGCATGCATTCTGTATGGTGACAACTATCACATTTTATTTATTGTTTACTTGTCTTTGGTCTTTTTTTTGAGGGGGGAAGAAGCCAGACTTGGCTTTGCTCTAGGCTGTTCCTGGTACTCAGACATGTGGTACTAGAGCTCGAACCCAGGCCTCCCAGATACAAAGCACACACTCAGCCTGTTGAGCTGTCTCTCTCTGGCACCTTATTTTCCTTATTATTATTTTTTTTTATTTTTTTTTTAATTATTATTATTTATTTTTTTTGCAGAGCTATAGAGGGTACTCAGGGCTTCACAGATGCAAGGCAAATTCTCTACCCTAGAGCTGTATCTCTGACCCTAACCGTTACCATACTTTTTGTTTTGGGGCCAAAGCCAACACACCCAACGATGCTCAGGGGTTACTCCTGGCTCTTCACTCAGGAATTATTCCTGGTGTATTTAGGGACCTGGGATGGCAGGGATCAAACCTGGCTTGGCTGTGTGCAAGGCAAACGTCCTACCTGCTGTACTATGTCTTCAGCTCTAATCATTAAATTTTCTTCCCAAATGTTCATGTGTCTGTTTCTCAGTCTGTGACCTTTTTGAGGGCAGCACTTTATTTTCATGAAATACTTGGGACATAGTTGGGGCAAAATAATGTGAATTATTCAATCAGTGAACCAATGACTGACCGACTTTTTTACACCCATTAGTGTTCAGAGGCCACAAGGACCAAACTGGGAGGTGTTGCAGGTCTGACGATCAACCCCAAAGTCTTAAACATGCAAAGCATCCATTCAATCACTTGAGCCAGATTCTTAGTGTTTCCAAACTTTAGTTTGCTTCTACATTGGTCTTTTTTTTGGGGGGAGGAAGGGGAACACCTGGCAGTAGTCAGGGCTTACTCCTGGTTCTGTGCTCTGGGATCATATTTAATGCTAGGGATTGAACCCTGGTTTTTAGTATGCAAGGCAAGCACCTTAAACCCTGTATTATCACTACAGGTCCCTCGACATTGATCTGGCCAACCCCCGGCCCCACTATTGTGATCTTAGGAAATGTCATAAAACATGAACTTAGATTTAATAAAACGTGTGTGATGTGAGGCTGGTTAGGTTAATTGGCTAGAATGTGGTGCTAATAAAATTGTGTGTGTGTGTGTGTGTGTGTGTGTGTGTGTGTGTATGCGTGCACACACGCACGCTCTGGAGCATGATTCTTTCCTTCCGGTTTGTATGTGTGGCACTATTTTGAGATCCCCAAATTGCACCCCTTTTCCAAAGTATATGTTGGTGAACTCCCTTTACTATTTCCTTGGGGCACCAAGCCAACATGTTCTGTTTCACCCCTGCTTCCACGCCCTGCCACATCACCCCAACTCTGCTATGCCAGGAATGTTATGGGGATGAGTGGTGCCATGACTCAGAGGGCGCTCCGGGGGTTGAGTGGGAGTGGAGACAGAGACAGGCATAGGAGGAGAAGTGGGCGACGCCCAAAGTCCCACTTCAAAAACGCTTCTTGCCTCTACCCATATGTTCAGGAGACATTATTGGGCCTCTGCTCTGTCCGGGCACCATTCTAGATGCTTGAGATATGAACGTGGGTAGGAAGATTACTCTGTCTTGAAATGTTCAGTCTTTTCTTGCTTGTTTTTGTTTTTAGGGTCAGACCCAGCAGTATTCAGGGGCTACTCCTGGCTCTGTGCTCAGGGATTACTCCTGTGTGAGCCCTTCAGGGGTTGGAGGGAACCTTCAGGGGGTGTCAGGAATTGATCTGGGGTAAGTCACAGACAAGACAAGCACTTTAAGCCCTGTACAATCTGTCTGACTCCTGAAACGTTCATTCTTTTTCTTGCAAGGGGTGGGAGAGCATGCTTCTGGGCCACACGAAGCATACTCAGGGCTTACTCCTGGCTCTGAACTCAGGAATCATTTCTGGGGTCTCAAGGGACCATATAGGGTTCTGGGGATCAAACTCCGTTCTGCTGCATGAAGGGCAAGCACTTTAGCCTGCTGTACTATATTTCAGGCCCTACAACTCCCTGTCTTTTATGGAAACAAGGATAACAATTACTAAATAATAAGGTTTTTTTTTTTCTCTTTTTGGGTCACACCTGGCGATGTACAGGGGTTGCTTCTAGCTCTGCACTGGCACTGAGGAGTTACTCCTGGTGGTGCTCAGGGGACCATATGGGATGCTGGGAATCGAACCCGGGTTGGCCGCGTGCAAGGCAAACGCCCTACCCGCTGTGCTATCTCTCCAGCCCCCATAAATAATAAGATTTTAGCCACAACCAATAGTGCTCAGGGTTTACTCCTGGCTCTGCACTCAGGGATCACTCCTGGCGGGGCTCAGGGTGCTTTATAAGATGCAGGTGATCAAACCTAGGTTGGCCATTGCAAGGCAAGTGCCCTCCTTACCCTCCATTCTATGATTCCAGTCCTTAATAATAATTCACTAAATTTTGGGGTGGGGCACACCCAACAGTGCTTAGGCATCACTTCTGGTAGGGATTGGGGGACCAGATGGAGTGCCAGGAATTGAACCTGACCTGAGTCGGATTGAGTAGCTGTGTGCAAAGCAAGTGCCCTACCTGTTGTATAATCACTCCGGCCCCTACTGAATATTTTTGAACCAATTCCTGTACCAAATTGTGTGTTCTACCTTTTCAGCTTCTCTGCTTAGTTGCAGCACAGCAGAGATATGGTCAGTCATAAAATTCTTCAAAGTGCAGGGCTGAAGAGATAGCACAGCGGGTACCGTTCTTGTCTCACAGTGGAAGACCTGGGGTCAATCCGTGGCACCCCAGATGGTCCCCTGAGATCACCAAGAGTGATCACTGAGCACAGAGTAAGCCCTGAACACTGCCACGTATGTCCCAAGAACAAAATCAATGACAAAAAAAAATGATTCAATCCTACACAATTCCATTGCCATGGAATAATAAAAGTCAGTCCAATCATTTGCAGTGTCTCTTCCTTCAATACCCAAAGGATGATGAATAATCCAGCAGGTGGCAGCAGGGAAACAATTACTCCATGAGGGAGGAGCAGAAGGCTGAGGTAAATGGGTGGAAATATTTAGTGAAGTTACTGGGCCCGCTCGAGCAAATCGATGAACAACGGGAGGGCCTTTACCTTTACCTTTACCTGGGTCCCAGATACCTTTTAGAGGACCCAGAAAATAAGAGGATGTCCAGGTTATCTTGGAGGCGGCAAAATCTAGGAGTTCTGCCTCCCCAATCCATTTCTCATCTTTTACTAATTCCACAACATGTATCTGGGGGATGCAGGGGATCGAACCCAGGGCTTCATACTGATAAGGCATGTACTCTAGGGCTGAGCTACACCTGGCCTCTGTGACTGTTGAGTTCTTGCTATCAATACTGTCACTCATCGGACTTACCGGGAGGACCTGGAGACACAAGAGTGAACCATGTTTTTGCTCTCAGGCAGCTGACAGTCTGGTTCAGACATCATCAAGTCTCTTTCCTTCCTCCCTCCAACCACCGTTTTTTTGGGCAGCAGTTAAAACCCGGGTCTTACACATCACAAGGCAAGTATTCTATGACTGAGCAAAATCCTCCCCAGGTAGTTAAACCTTCAGGTCCTATTAGGCTAAAAACCTCAGTCTCCATGGTGGCACTGCCCTGTAGCACAGTTCATCGACTTGCTCCAGTAAAGTCTCCACTGTGAGGCTTGAGACTTGTTTTGGGCCTATGGAGTAGGCCAGGGGGAGCTTGCCAGGCTCTGTCGTTTGGGCGGGATACTCTTGGTAGCTCTCCAGGCTCTCCAAGAGGGACAGAGGAATGGAACCCGGGTCCTATCCGCTGTGCTGTCGCTCCAGCTCAGTCTCCGTGGTACTTTGTTAAAGCAGGGTTAGTAGTAGGAGAATGGACCAGGATGAACTTCTCTGGGTGTTTCCATGCCCTTAGGATCATAGTAACAGAGAGCCCAGGGCTCGTTGAACAGTGGAAAGATTGCAACCAGGTCTCCTTTTCCCTTGCCCTTTTTTGGATATACGCTTTTTGGAGGTGGAGGGTCACCCCCACGGTGCTCTAGAGTTCTGGCGGTGCCCGATGATTGAATCTAGGACTCCCGCAGGCAAAGCATGAGCTCAGCCCTCTGAGTCATCTCCCTGGCCCTCCACTGCAATCCTGACACTTGGGAATGAACCAGTGTTCGAGTTCACTGAATTTCATTACGTGTCCAGCCTGGGGCACTGCATCTCATTAGACCCTGGGAAGAACTCAAGACACGAACACACGTGCTCAACTAAATGGGAAAGAGAGCACAACGGGGGGAGGGGGGCAACGGAAATTACTTTTGTGCCATTTAATTTCATTTTTTTCATTTCATCATCCTGTTATTCGTTGATTGCCTCGAGCAGGCCCCAGTAACGTCTCCTTCATCCTAGCCCTGAGATGATATTCAAGGCTCTTTAGGAGAATGAGACCCATCATTGTTACTGGTATTTGGCATATTGGGTGCGCCAAGGGGAGTTTGCCAGACTCTGCCCTGTGGGCAGGCTGCATTGGATAGTAGCTTTTGTGTCACTTTGTGATATTCCGTGATCCTTGATCTCTTCCCGACTCCACACCGTGCCTTTTCCCTCGCTTTTTCTCCGAGGGGCGTGTAACTGAGAACACCACCGACTCAGCAGCTCGGGCTGCGCAGCCAGCCCGGCCAAAGGGCCGAATCGGAATGGACTAACTGAGCCACCGTAGGGGCCGCCGGGGCACCCGGGAACGCAAGCCTTCCCCCCGGGCGGGGTGCCGGGGAGGGGGCGGGCGGGGCCGCGCCACGTGACCCGCCGCGGCCCGGCGATTGGCTCCGCTCCCCCGGGAGGGCGGGCCCGCGGGCGAGGCCGGGCGCATGCGCGGTGCCGGATTTCCCGGCCGCCTGGAGTGGAGCCGCGGGGCTGGCTGGTAAACAGGATCGGCGCGCCGGAGGGGGAGGGGGCTTCCTCCGCCGCGACTCCTCACGCCCGCCCCCGCCCCCCGCCGCCGGAGCCCCCCGAGGGGCAGCAGCCGAGGCGCCGGGCCGAGCGCGGCCGGATGGTGCGGGCCTGAGGCGCCCCGAGCCCGCCGACGCGCCGGGAGCGGCTGGCGGGGCGGGCGGCCCGCGGGATGCGGGTCCCGTGAGGCGGCGAGGGGAGGGGTCGCCCGGAGCCGCGGAGGAAGCGCGCCCGCCCGCCCGCGCGGCCGCGGAGGGGGAGGGGGCGGCCAAGATGGCGACGGCCCCGCCGGGCGCCGCCGACGCGGGGGTCTCGCCCTGCACCACGACCCTCGGTGAGCGGGGCGCGGGCGCGGGCGGGGGCGGGGGACTAAGGCGGGGGCTGTCGCGGGGTCGGGGGGTCCTGGGCCCGGGGTCGGGGGCTGTCGCGGGGTCGCGGTACTGGGTCTGGGGGCTGTCGCGGGGTCGCGGGGTCGCGGTCCTGGGCCCGGGGTCCGGGGCTGTCGCGGGGTCGCGGTACTGGATCTGGGGGCTGTCGCGGGGTCGCGGTCCTGGGCCCGGGGTCTGGGGGCTGTCGCGGGGTCGGGGTCCTGGGCGCGGGGTCGGGGTCCTGGTCCTGGGCCCGGGGTCCGGGGTCCTGGGCGCGGGGTCGGGGTCCTGGGCCCGGGGTCCGGGGGGCTGTTGCGGGGTCGGGGAGTCCTGGGCCCGGGGTCCGGGGGGCTGTCGCGGGGTCGGGGTCTTGGGCCCGGGGTCCGGGGGGCTGTCGCGGGGTCGGGGTCTTGGGCCTGGGGTCCAGGGGCTGTCGCGGGGTCGGGGGGTCCTGGGCCCGGGGTCCGGGGGGCGGTCGGGGGGTCCTGGGCCCGGGGTCCGGGGCTGTCGCGGGGTCGGGGTCCTGGACCGGGGCCGGGGTCCTGGGCCCGGGGTCCGGGGGGCTGTCGCGGGGTCGGGGGGTCTTGGGCCCGGGGCCTGGGGGGCTGTCGCGGGGTCGGGGGGTCCTGGGCGCGGGGTCGGGGTCCTGGGCCCGGGGTCTGGGGGCTGTCGCGGGGTCGGGGTCTTGGGCCCGGGGTCCGGGGGGCTGTCGCGGGGTCGGGGGGTCTTGGGCCCGGGGTCCGGGGGGCTGTCGCGGGGTCGGGGGGTCCTGGGCGCGGGGTCGGGGTCCTGGGCCCGGGGTCTGGGGGCTGTCGCGGGGTCGGGGTCTTGGGCCCGGGGTCCAGGGGCTGTCGCGGGGTCGGGGTCCGGGGTCCGGGGGGCTGTCGCGGGGTCGGGGGGTCCTGGGCGCGGGGTCGGGGTCCTGGTCCTGGGCCCGGGGTCCGCGGAGGCGCCTTCCCCGCACGTCGTTGGCTGAACGTGCCCCCCACTTTGGGGAAAGAACGGGGCGTTTCGGAGACGGTCTGAAAAATTGGGAAGGTCGCGACCCGGGAGATGAGATGCCACCATGGGTGGGTGGGGGGCGCGTGATTGGCACGCGCGACTGACCCGGGTTCGATCCCCCCCCCCACCCGCGCCTCCCAAAGCGTCAGTCCCCCAAGCACCCGCACCCACCGGTCCCCGAGCCCCGCCGGGTGTGACCCAGGAAACCGAAGCGGGGCGCGGAGCGGAGGGTGGGGGGATCCCGTTCGGACCCTTGATTAGCGCGCAGGACGGGGCAGGTGGGCTGCGGGGGCAGGTGGGCTGCGGGGTGCGCGCGGGGCCCGGGAGGGACGGGGCGGGGCGGGCGGAGGTGGGTGGCTCCGCATGGGGTTGCATAAGAGGCGTCGGCACTTTGGGGGGCCGGAGCCGGGGACCCTCGCCCGGAGTCGTCGGCGGAGCCGAGGGCGGCTCGGGGACCTGCAAGGGAAGCACCAGCTTGTGTGTAGGAGAGAAAATGTGTTGCCGGCGGGGCGCGTGTCTGGGGGGCGGGGGGTGAGTCAGCCGCCGTTCTGGAGCCGCATCGAAGACGCCTGGTGTGCTTGGGTGACTTGCCACCTGGAGAGAGACCTCTGGGTGCTGCATGTTCTCCTTGGGAGGTGGCTGGTCCACCTTGGTCGAGTGGACGCGCGGTCGGTTGCGGGTACCTTCCTAAGCTGCAGTTTTATTTATGCACATTCTACTTTTAGTTTTTTTTTGGTTTTTTTTTTTGCTTTTTGGGTCACACCCGGCAATGCACCCGGGTTACTCCTGGCTCTGCACTCAGGAGTTACTCCTGGCGGTGCTCAGGGGACCCTATGGGATGCTGGGACTCGAGCCCCGGTTGGCTGCGTGCAAGGCAGACGCCCTACCCGCTGTGCTATCGCTCCAGCCCCTACTTTTAGATTCTTGAGAGATGATTTTTGCTTTGCCTATAAGAGCCGCAGGGAGCCAGAACCACTCACGTGGCCTTCTGAGTGAGGGAAGGGCAAAAAAAAAAAAGGCAAGTTTTGGGAAATACGGTAGCTCTTTCGTGCTTCTGCTTTGGGGGCACACCTGGCCACGCTCAGGGAGGACTTCCTGGCTCTGCGCTTAGGAATCACTGCTGGTGGTCCTGTGGGGAAAGGGGGGTCCTCTGGGGTGCCCCTATATGGTAGCTTTTTCATTCGAAACCTTTGCTTTCTCTGACACAAAGAACGATTGTGTGTAGGTATTTTTCTACTAAGAAGCAGGTTTTATCATAAAAGGTGCTTGGCGGGGACCATCTGGAGTGCTGGGGATCCAACTTGGGTCAGCAGCAGCGTCTAGCCCCAATACGTGACTTATTAGATGTCACGTTTGGTCTTTTTGTTTCTGTCAGCTCCAGGGCCAGCGTTTTAGTAAATTAGATTGTTTTCACCGGAAAGTCACGGATTATGATTTAGTGGACTTGACTCTTCCAGATTCTACTGTTTATAAGTGAAGTCAAGGGATGAAGATGCCTAAGTTACCACTATGGGACTGGAACGTTAATACAGTCACTAGGGCACTTGCCAACCCGGGTTCAATCCCTGGCACCCCACATAGTTACCCAGGTACTGCTAGGACTAATCCCTGAGCGCAGAGCCAGGGTATCGCTGGGTGTGGCCCCAAAACCCAAAATAGAAATAACTTTGGGGCAGGAGGGAGAGAACTTGCCTTGCACGTGGTCAGCTCAGCTTCAGTTCCCAGCACCAACACATGTGCGCCCCTGAGCACAGCCAGGTGTGGCCCAGAAGTTAAAATAAGTTAAAATATGGGGCTGGAGAGAGAGTTCGGATGCATTATCCTGTCACTGCTTCCATGTGTGGCCCTGGTGGTCTTCCAGAACTGCCGGGCCTGAGCAGCATTGTAAGCCTGGGACCAGGATCGCTGGGAGTGGCTTCTGGCTGTACTCCCCAAGCAGTGTGCTGGGGGTCTCCCTCAGACCCCCCCTTAGAGTCCTCTGAGTCCTCTTTAAAGTTTTTTTTTCTCTCTATTTTGGGTCACACTGACGACGTTGCTCAGGGGTTACTCCTGGCTTTGCACTCCGGAATCACTTCTGGCGGTGCCGGGCTGGGGGACGGCACCATATGGGATGCTGGGAATCGAATCCGGGTCGGCTGCGTGCAAGGCAAACGTCCTACCCGCCGTGCTGTTGCTCCAGCCCCAAGTTTTCTTGTATTTTTCCAGTATTCTACTAGCTCAGTAAAGAGCACGGGATCCTTGAAAACTTCCCCTTCCCCTTCCTCTGCTTCTTAGCAAGATTGGAATTCAGTTAGGTGAGAAATCAAGGGAAGGGCTGAAGAGGTGGTGTGAAGGATTGAGTACCTGCTTTGCATTCAGAAAACCTGGGATTGATCCCAAGTGCCACATGGGCCCCTGGCCACTAGTGAAGTGACCCTGGAATGCAGAGCCCTAGTATAGAGAGTCAACAGGCAGAGTTCCTGTGCACCACTGGCTGTGGCCCAGAACCAAAAAAAAAACAAAAGAAATTTGGGGGAAATTTGTTCGTGTATATCTCCTTTTTTTTTTTTTAATGATGCTGTGTATGTTTGGACTTGGTGAATTAAATTTTATAGACTAGTGATTTATTTATTTTTTTTTTTTGGTTTATTTTCAGGAGAGGTGGGTGTGTGGTGCACCCACAGATATTCTGGACTTACTTCTGGCTTTGTGCTCAGGGATTACTCCTGGGCGGGCTCAGGAGACTGTATGCGGTGTTGGGAATTGAACCCAGATTGGTCACGTACATGCCCTACCAACTGTCCTATTGCTTTGACCCTGATCCAGTTTTGTTTTGTTTGTTTTGAGTTTTTGCTGAGGGATCACTCCTGGTGGTCCTCCTGGGACTATATGGGTGCTGGGGATCAAACCCAGGCCACCCATGTACAAGGCAGGTGACCTCCCCGCTGTACTCTTGCGTAGCTCCCTATCAGAGTAATTTTAAAGGGGAGGGATTTAGACCATACCTGGTGTTGCAAATGGCTACTCCCAGCTCTGCGCTTTAAGGGTCAGTCCTAGTAATATTGGAGGACCACAGCTGCCAGAAATCAAACCCAGATCACCGTGACAAGCATATGCTCCAGCCCTTTGAGCTATGGGTCTGTTACTGGCCCGGAAGAGAGAGAGAGAGAGAGTGAGTGTGTGTGTGTGTGTGTGTGTGTGTGTGTACACGCATGTGTACGCATGCTACTTGCTTGGGGAACCATATGGAATGATGGGCTCCCAGGGATTGAAACTGGACTAGCCACTTTCAAGGCAGGCGCCCTGCTCTCTGTACTGTCTCTCTGGCCCCCACCTTATTTTTTATGTATTTATCTGGACTCCAGTTTTGATGAGACTCTGCAGACAAGATTTCTGGTGGTGGTTAAAACCTATTCACGAGCCTGAGAGGTAACTCAGCAGGCTGGAAAATACACTTTGCGTGCAGGAGGCCCGTGTTCAGTGCCTAGCAGCTCGAGGTACCCCCAGCATTGTCAGGAGTCGCTCCTGAGCATCACAAAGTGTGGCCCCCAAATAAAAATAGGGGCCAGAGGTACAGTCCAGGGACTAAGATGCTTGCTTAGCCAATCCCAGTCTGCTCCATATATAGCACTGTATGGTCCCCTGAGCATCACTAGAAGTGACACCAGGAGTAGCCCCTGAATGTGTGTGTCCCACAGACTAATAAACGAGTGAGTAAAATCTATGCAAGGTGAGAATATCAAGTTTTAGGGGGCTGGAGAGAGTACATTGGGTAAGGCACCTGCCCTGCACACCGCCAAACTGGATTTGGTCTTCTGCACCCATATGGTCTCCCAGCCCACTAGGAGTGGTTGCCAGTAAGCACAGTGGGTGTGGCTCAGAAACAAAACGAAGTACTAGAATGTCAGGTTTTGGGGACAGATTGAATAACTTTTTGGAAGAATTACTCCTGTAACTCAGAATCATTTCACATTCAAATTAGGAA